ACTATGATTAAAACTGAAATTAAAATAAGTTTATTGAGGTAAAATATATACAAAGGGATGAGATAGCTCAAGCTATTCTTACCCCGATCAGTACAAAGTGCTCATACATATATAGACACACATCACAAACAATAAACATATTGCCAAACATTCTAAGAGATAAGACTACTATGATAAGATCACCAAATATATTACAGGCTATTCATGCCCGTGTCACCTCTTGGGTGGTTTATTCTTTATCAATCAATCACCAAACTATATATAAACAGAGAAGGATGAGTAGACTGGAGACCGAGGCTCCACTTGGTCCGGGAGACATCTCCCGTCACGCAGGGTGCAGTCGCGCCTCCACAGATCTCCAGTATCATCTATTGATACTGGTAATGGCTCAAAAGGGCCACCACTTACGAGCTATTCATGCCCGTGCCACCTTTTAGGTGGCTTCATCTTCATCAATCAATTCAATCTGTTTAAATCACGGAGGACATCTCCCGTCACGCGGGGTGCAGTCGCACCTCCACAGATCTCCAGTATCATCTATTGATACTGGTGATGGCTCAAAAGGGCCACCACTTACGAGCTATTCATGCCCGTGCCACCTTTCGGGTGGCTTCATCTTCATAACACATTCACAAGGGAGACATCTCCCGCCATGCAGGGTGCATTCGCACCTCCACAGATCTCCAGTATCATCTATTGATACTGGTGATGGCTCAAAAGGGCCACCACTTACGGGCTATTCATGCCCGTGCCACCTTTTGGGTGGCTTAATCTAAATCAATCAATCAGTAGACTGGAAGACATCTCCCGTCCACGAGGCTAACCATAGCCCGTGCTACTTGCCCCGCTCCTGTGCCAGGTAAGTTACGGGCTCACCACAGCCCGTGCTACTTGGGACTTGCTCCGAGTAGCTGAATCTATAACAACAAACAACGAGTAGACTGCCACACCATTTGGTTACCATTTGATCCAGGAGACATCTCCCGTCACGCAGGGTGCAGTCGCGCCTCCATAGATCTCCAGTATCATCTCTTGATACTGGTAATGGATCAAAAGGGACACCACTTACGGGCTATTCATGCCCGTGCCACCTCTTGGGTGGCTTGATCTTTATCATCACCATTTGGTCCACGGGAGACATCTCCCGTCACGCGGGGTGCAGTCGCACCTCCATAGATCTCCAGTATCATCTATTGATACTGGTAATGGCTCAAAAGGGCCACCACTTACGGGCCATTCATGCCCGTGCCACATTTTGAGTGGCTTAATCTTTATCAATCATTAACACATTTCACGGGAGACATCTCCCGTCATGCAGGATGCACTCGCATCTCCACAGATCTCCAGTATCAGCTCTTGATACTGGTAATGGCTCAAAAGGGCCACCACTTACGGGCTATTCATGCCTGTGCCACCTTTTGGGTGGCTTAATCTTCATCAATCAATCAGTAGACTGCATCTTCCTAGACTGGCAAAAGGTTTACGATACTGTTCCTCACGGAAGATATACACAAGACGAAGACAAGTGGGGATAACAGGAAAGGCACTGAACTGGATATGGGAGCACCAGACGGACAGGAATCAAAGGGTCATAATCAGAGGATAAGTCATGGTAGCGATGAGCGGAAAGTTGTGTTCAACAGGCTCTATCTTAAGATCATTGCTCTTATTTATGCAAATGACCTACCAGAGGACGTGAGCTCATACTTGTCGATGTTTCAAAGTTAACGAGGAGAGTAAGAACTGAAGAGGACTGTAGGGTGCTGCAAGAAGCCTTTGACAAACTTTAAACAAATAAGTAAACAAAGAAATAAGCCTTAAGACAAACAATTGTAGGGAAGGAAGATGTGGGGGTAAGATCTTCCAAAGTCCAATCACCTTATCTACGCCACAGTCATCGAAGATAGTGGCGAGCATGTCAATACAAGTCAGATCCTGTGGTGCTATAGCCCCTCCCATAGACAAACTCCCCACCCCTCTGATACAACCACCACCTCTACCTCCATACACAGACATGCACCCAGGTGTAGTTACTCACTCCCACTACTCTCCTCACCCACTACTCTCCTTCCTCTCCTCCTTCCCTCACTTCTCTCCTCCCTCCCCCACTACTCTCCTGTTTCTGGAGCAACTTACAATAAGCTTATTGAAGTCTTGGAGGGCTGACAACTGAAGGGCAGAAGGGAGAAACAGAAGGGTTAGAACAGGTGACACAACATGGTCGATGGGAGTCTCTCCCTGTCTTTGGTACTGGGTTAAGACCAATCAACCACTGGAGGGTTTTTGAGGCCGTGACACGAGCATACTGATAATGAGAGTCATCCCTCAGTCATATAGATATATATACCGAGAAGCGGCATATCCATTCTCAACTAGTTAAGAATGTAAGAAAAAGAAAACGTAGACTAAAAAAAAAAATAGGCCCATATGTGGCAGCTCCTATTTATATTCATCCAAAGTAAGTAATTATCAAAAAGCGTTAAGGCGAGGAGACTATGAAGTTCCACCTACACTCATTTATATATTCAATCCCACGTCTAATGTTACCCGGTAATCTGTTCCAAGATTCAACAATCCTGGGCAGGTAAAGACAAATCTTACAGGATTTTTCAGTTATTTCAAATTAAGATTAGAGGAAAAGACAGGACCATTAAAAACTGAGACAGGTCACATAACTGATAATGACAAATAAATGAGTAGCATTTTAAATATTCCAGCGCATAGGTTCGAACCCTCATCAATGCTACTGTTCGATAACAAATCCACAAGGGCCGTGACGAGGATTCGAACCTGCGTCTGAGAGCATCTACTGTTCGTTTTGTTCATTGATGTATCACGTTAATATGATTTTTCTGTATATTATTCTTATGGCCCAAGAAATACAAATAATGAAATAATGATGATATAATTGAATTTACAGAGTATTGGGGATAGAATTTCAAGAGATAAATGAAGCTTTGCCTATTAGACTAATGAGAGGCGAGGAAGCTAATTTATCTAATTCCTCTCACTTCAAAAGGTAGAAAGAAATTAATAAAGCATGTGAAAACATGCATCCTTATGCATGCTTTCACATACATTATTAATTTCTTGCATCCTTGCATTTAATTTGCATCCTATTATGCCTAATAGAATCCTTATGTTCTAATGCTACAAAGCATGATATCCTTCAAGAATATATTTCATTGCCAAAGAAACAATTATCACCAACTTGAGAGGAACACAACACAGATGCAGTAATGTTCCCTCTATGTTCTCAGACTCTTATCTTTGCTGAGGATATTTATTTTATTGATAAGAGACATCATTTCTTGAAATTCTATTGTATACTATTTTTCCAGACCTCCGTCAACATTTTCCACCACACTGGGTTGAACAGTGGCATCATTAGTGGATAGTTCATTACGCAGACGAGGAGTCACAATAACGTAGCTGAAATATGTTGACTAAACCACACACTAGAAAGTGAAGGGACGACGACGTTTCGGTCCGTCCTGGATCATTCTCAAGTCGATTGTGAGAATTCTCACAATCGACTTGAGAATGGACATTACAAAGAGGATATTAATAGGGTATTAAAAGTATCAACACAAGCCAGAACATGAAATAATGGGTATAAATTGGATAAGTTTAGATTTAGAAAGTAACATAAGAATAAAGGTAACTGCAGAAGGCCTATTGGCCCATACAAGGCACCTATTTCTAACCACCCAATCCCACGTTTGAAACAATCAAGGGGACCCCACCTCTACGACGTTACGCTGTAATTAGTTCTACAAATTCTAGGTAAATACTGGTTCGGTAACAGGGTTGTTGATTTGTGGAACCAATTACCGCGTAACGTGGTGGAGGTAGGGTCCCTTGATTGTTTCAAGCGTGGGTAGGACAAGTATAGATGTGGGATTGGGTGGTTATAATTAGGAGCCGCCTCGTATGAGCCAATAGGCCTTCTGCAGTTACCTTTGTTCTTATGTTCTTATGTTCTCGGCATATTACTGCTCCCAGACTGCTCAAAGGCAATCCAAGATAGTAATCCACTCCCTCTACTAGAGTACATGCTTTGGTTTACTTGTGGGTATATACACCAAGACAGAGTACATAAGAATGAAGATAACAGCAGAAGGCCTATTGGCCCATGCGAGACAGCTCCATCCACCCAATCTCATTCATATGTCTAACCTAAGCTTGAAACAATCAAGGGCTCCTACTTCTATTATGTTAAATATGCATCATTTAACTAATCTCGACAACTTCCACCCATTTATCTGCAATACCGTTTGCAGATCCCTGCAAGTCAGAATACGCAATACACATCTAAGGCATGTGGAAGGGGGGGGGGGTGAGGACCTTTGACAAGCCACCGGCTTCCTACCTCCGTCGTGGACACTAAATGTTAGATACAAGGTATATATAGTCCTCGGGCAAAAATTCTTTTGCCTTACATTTACGTCTTGCCAGATTTTCCGTAGGATTCTGCTTCTAAGTAAACTCTTGGCTCCTGCCAATACTTAGTCCTTGGATAGAGGATTGTAGAAAACCCAATCACGGGAACAGCAAACCAGTATATTCCAGTCTCCAGTCGCATGTCTGATCACATTCAAAATAAAAGTGGCACCGACATCCAGTTTTAAGTTGCCAAATTAAAACTGCGAATATTTTCTTTGATCACACACACACACACACACATATATATATATATATATATATATATATATATATATATATATATATATATATATATATATATATATATATATATATATATATATATATATATATATATATATACACACACACACACATATATATATATATATATATATATATATATATATATATATATATATATATATATATATATATATATATATACACACACACATTTTAGGCATTAAAGCGTTTAAATGTGTACATTAGAACAGGTAACATAGGTGTAACATTAGAAGAGGTAGCCTTGCCGTGTGAGGTGGAGGTGGTGTAGGTAAGGAGGGAGGTCACAGACTCTTAAGCCCCCACAACCCTCGCGCGTGTTGACCTGAGCGGTCATGGTGGCTCATCTTCTCAAGTGCTGCTCCATTAAGGATAATACAGTCTATTGTCTTTCGATGTGGAATTTTGGAAACTACTACTGCCACCCTATAAACGAAGGCTGGAGCTACAGTCGGTAAGTGTAATGGACTCGACGGTGTTAATTATATTGGTTTGCTGATACAAGGTCTGTTTTGAGCACGTGTGAGCCTGAGTGCTGTGCTTTCCTCGTAGGCCTCTGCCTGCTTGCATGCTCTGTATGTGCTTCCTGGTTTGGCTTTGCGCTAAATGGCTTTTGTTTTCTCAAAGTACTCTCCTAATTGTGCACCGTGCGAGAGCAATAAATAGCAATCTCGGTTGCAATTTTTGTACCATGTGGCGCATTCAATTAAGGCGCGTCTGGGATCATCCTAGACGTAAATTCGAACTCTCATCACGGCCCTTGTGATTTTAAAATCCTTGTGGATTTATTCACTCAATTAATTGTTTGTTTGCGTTAAACTTCCGCCCCTTCAATAGACTAGGGTATAGGCTCCTTACCTTGAGGTACTTCCGGGGCTTAGCGTCCCCGAGGCCCGGTCGTCGACCAGGCCTCCTGGTTGCTGGACTGATCAACCAGGCTGCTGGACGCGGCTGCTCGCAGCCTGATGTATGAGTCACAGCCTGGTTGATCAGGTATCCTTTGGAGGTGCTTATCCAGTTCTCTCTTGAAGCTGTTTTGGCACTGACCTGCCAACATTTACTTGAATTTATCAGTGCCACTAAAATTAGTGGCCTCGACGCGAACAAGAAGCCGTCGGCTTGTCAAAGATCCCCCCCCCCACTTGCCCTGATAATCTTTTTCCAGTTAGATTTTAAAATTTAAGTTTTGGCATTTACGACTTTGTCGGGTAGGCGGTTCCATGGGTTTATAACTCTGGGGGAAAAAGCATCTCCTGTTCTCAGTCCTACATTATGGCTTGAGCTTGAAACCGTTGCTCCTTGTGTGTTACATCTGACCTAAAGAAAAATCAAAATCAATATCCTCTAACTTGTTAAGTATTTTAAGTTTCAAAGAGATATCCTTTGTCATGCCTGGTTTGCAGTGTTGTTAGCCCTGTGGCCTTTAAGCGTTCCTGATACTAGAAATGACTTTGCTCTGGAATGACTTTGGAAGGTACCCGGTGTTGCACCTTCTCCAGAGCAGCTATGTCCTTCGGAAAATGAGGTCTTGGATACAGTAAACTAAGTGGGGGGGCACACCAGATATTTATACAGTTGAACCATTACCTTCTTTTCCTTATGAAATCAAAAGTATGCTTGATTATCCCAAGAGTTTGGTTAACTTTTCTGACTGCTGCACCCACCTGTTGTGCAACTTTTAATAAATGGTTGATCTAGACTTTCTTCATCAATATTAATTTGATAGTCGTGGCTTGTTGCGGTCTTGCATTTTTCCGATATTAAAAAGCATTTGCCAGTCTTATGACCACTTCTGGAGTTCATGTAGATCTTTGTAAGAATATTTAATATCATTTCATTTCCCACTACCATAAATCTTTATCTGCAAATGTGGTTTGTAATACTCTCGTCTGTAAGTGATGTATATGACAAAAAGGGTAGGTCTCAAAATGGACCCCTTGTAGCACCCCCCACTTAACAGGTTTTTCCATTCTGATTAGTTTCCATCTAGCTCCACCCATTTTCTTTCCTTCAACCATTGTTTTATCCATTCTAATATTTTGCCATTTATTCCATTGGCAAGGAAATTGTAGGCCCGTCTTTCATGTTGCAGCTTATGAAAAGCTTTAGCAAAATCCATGTACTGTATACTACTGTACATCCACTGATAGGTTTGTGCTTTTCCAAAAAATGTTAGCTAATTTGTTTTTTAGAAAATCAATGTTGTACTGGTCGGGGTGAGAATAGCTTGTGCTACCTCATCCCTTTGTGTATTTTACCTCAATAAATTATTTCAATGTTGTAGATATAGACATATGCCTGGATATGCATGGGTATTTTAGTTTTTCATACTGAGATAGTGCAATATTGGACAATACTCTATTTTCTACCTGGTAATGTACTTTGTATATTTCTTACAGATGTAGCAGCTATTGATAAGTTTGTTAAAAAGTAATATTTACCTATATCAAGCAAGCCATGTCATCAGAACACTGGGACCTTGTAGAGTCCTATGACTACCTGCAGGAGATGGCAACCAAGAGCTCAAGTATTCGATGGCCAGCCCTTCTCCTTTTGTCAACCCTTGTTACCATTGCACTGGCTGTTGCAGTCTTCTTGTGGATTGCTCTCAAGCCTTCACCAGGTTCAAGACGGTATGTCACATTCTCATTTTATAGCTTTCTTCACTGTCCATTTACAGTACTGTACTTTGTGTTAAACTTTCTAGCCAGACAAATGTTATGCCAATTCAGTCTTGATGAATCTGCCAGAGCAAACCATTCGTTTGCATATATATGTTGGGGGAATTATATTTGAAACAAAAATTGGCAGATGTCTATTCATGCATCAGTAGCTTTCCCTCACCAACAAACATTTGCGCAAATGCTTAACGTTCATTTGATAATTTAATTGTTTTGTTCCTTGATGAGTATTGATCCTAGAATAAGAGTGTCATGCTGACAATATTGTTTTTACTATTTTCAGCTTTTATAATTTTTAACATTACGTATTTTAGTTTTTCTTTTCTTCGGTGTAGCCTTTTTTACATAAATATCGGAAACAATTTCCTGAACGATGCTGTACTGTATTTTTTTTTTAAATTTGAAACCTGGAAGCTTTTTCTTATTTTAGTCTCATTTTTTCTGAAATTTCTAAAAAATTCTAAACAGAAATATGTATCACATTTTCTGTTGAGAATGGATACATATTTCTGTTTAGAAATTTTTCACTTCCTGAAGTCCCTGACAAGACTAGCAATTTTACTGGTTGCCATAGTAAATGTATGAGTGAAACCACATAATAAAATATGAGCAAAACAATGTTGAATTGCTTGGACAGATGTTACACAGGTGGTTGACCACCTGTATAGAGTGGTACCTCAGAGATACTCTGACAATAGGTTTAGGTGGGTAGTAAACGAGTACATTATCTGTGGTGTAGTCAGCATAAGCTGCTTTGTAGGATATATGAGTGCCTGTACAGTAGTGTAACTGTACATTTCCATTTAAATCTATGTATTGTAATTTGAAAATTACAAAACTAATGACAGGTACGGCTATTTTTTTTTTTTTGTAGATACAGTATTGCTAAAAGATTCACCCTAAAATGTGTCGAACAGATTCTAAAATCTGCCACCCGGGAGCATCGTGGCCCAATAACAATTGGGACTGTTCCTTGCACCTCCATACATTAGTCTCAAAAGTTTAAAGCCAACACAGGAAGTTGTTCTCCAGATACTTTACAACTGGAAATGTAATACATAAAACTACTGTATCCCTAAATTGTATACCTAATTTTTACAATAAAGGACAGGCATAAACTAAAGTAAGCAACTGTGGTAAAGAAGTCAGAAAACGTGCAACAAAATAACTTTACAAAACGAACTTCACTTCGAGTGGGGGAAAGATGATGCATTCAGTCACTAGATGCATAGACTTTATATACAGTATTTATGTATAATTTATGTACAGTAACTTCTCTCATTTTCCAAATGGTTGAAAATATATACAGTATAGTTATACAATACTATAAAATAAGTCATAATATAGCAATTTTGTGATTTAGATTCAGAGATACTGATAATGGGCTAACATTAAAATACTAGTGTGCATAATTTCATCATAACTACTATAATATTGGTTGAAGATGTACATTACAAATAACCCGACCCCACACACATGAAGTGAATTTAAAATGACAGTTTCATTCTGACCTCAATCCTCAAGTTGTGACACCCATCGTGATAAGTCTCGAAGACAAAATGGTCACTTTCATTTCATGAACGTGTGGGTTGGATTATTCGTTTCAGCCACATTACTATTGAGACATTCTCTACATACTGCACACTACAAGTTTCAACTTGGTTTAAAAAAATTTGTGTACAGAAATAGTGTAAAGTTACCTTTTGGAAAAAAAAAATTAAAATCTGCCACTAGGTAGGTACAGTGCACAATAACAATAGGAACATTTCTTTGATGCACATTTAAAGCTAATATGCAAAACTATTTTTCATATATTGCACGTAAACAAAAAAATAGTTTCCATACTGAGAACTCCTAAATAACTTTATCAAATATAAAATATTTTGAAATTGTCATTGTAATACAATATAATGAAAAGCCTGATGTTTAGTTCCACCATACGCCCTTCAAATATTTAATATACATTTTTCCATTAAAGTGATTAATTTTTGCAGGTATCCCGGAAACCTGGAAGATCGAGTCCAGGTACTGGCTGACAAGCTGACCAGGAGCACCTGGGGTCGTTGCACGGCACGTGAGTACCGCAAGAGGGTCTGGATAAATTGGAAGAAAAATATTACAGAAGCAGATCTAAATACCATAACCAGGCTCAGATTTGGTAATGGAGGCACTCCTTACCAAGCTTTATATGGAAGGTGTCGGCGCATCAAGTTGAAGTTAAATAGAAAATACAGAACACAGTCTTTCTCAAATATATAATGCACTGATGGATATACTCGAATTGTATTTTACTTTTGCAAATTTTTGTTCTTTTCACAGTGAATTGTTCTAATTTTTTTTAGTTCATTTGGAATTGTTTTGAATTCGGCCTTTAATACCACTGTTCAAGGGTCCAGGTACTACAGTCTGGTTCATTCTTGACACGCAATAGGGAATTTCGAGTTCGAATCTCAAAAAAAAAAAGTAAAAAAAAAAATACAGTATTATTAACCATAGCTATTTTTAGTTTAGTTTTAAAACAACTATTGTTCTTAGTTAGCTTCCTCAGGGTGCAATCGAAAACAAGTTGCTAAGTAATTGGTATAGGGGCTTCCTCTTCCCAATTATAGGAAACCATAAGGTGAACCAATTTTTTTTTTATTAGTTTCGAACCAGATACTTCCTAGTGTTAAGTCAATCTTGCTGCAAAGGGGTTAAATCAATCTCCCTATATAACTCTGTTGTCTTCTGATTAAAGCATCCCACTTTGGACTTTGAGAAATTGGAGATGTACAAGTCTCAAATATATCATTAAGAACATCTGTAGATCATGATCAAAAATTTAATCTGTACTACTCTTTCTGAAGACTAATATCTGGTAGTACAGTATTTCATCATTGTTGATATGTATGTCTGTAATGTAGGTAACTATTATTAAATATGTTTTGACTCATATTAATATTGTTTGGCACAAGTAAAATACAACCCTGTATGTCTATGTGCAAAATATTTGAGGACTTGTATCATTATGAAAGGCACTTTCACTCACTAATTGTAAGACTGTGTATTGGCATAGACTGCATCAACAATACTAATTATATAGAAATGAAGCATACTGTATTTGTAGATCATTTTATAGTTTGTTACAGATATGTACACTACTGCTGAAATTTTTTTTAAGGCATTACAAAAAATCAAAAGCTTGGAATTATCTATATTTGTTTTTCTACACAGAAGCACCTCACTGTTCAGATTTATTAAGTTGAATTCAACTTCACCCTCTAACATAGCTCAAACTCTAAAATCTGTCACGCTGTCGGAAACAATTGTGGTACATTTACGTTGTCAAATGCAAAGGAAACTTACTGGTAAGGGAAGAAACTGGTTACAGTGTGTGATCAGCCGTAACAGCCTGAAACTTGAAACATCTACTAAATGTTAGCATACTGTTGCACTACAATAGATGACCAAAGTGTTGCAACATGCAGAAATAAGGAGGAAGGGAAGGGAAGAACATTGTCAATTAATGTATTATAATAACCAATGCTGAAAAAATGTGTTGAGAAAAATAAATTAGTATAGTTCCTTTATGCTGAAATTTTATTTATCCCATTATGCACACTGGTTGCTTTGTAATTTATTTTCCATGATGAAGGCTTGAGGTCACAATACACTGCTTCCCCCACACTAGCTCATTAAATATTTTGTTTCTAAACAAATTTGTAATAACCTATACAAGGTAAATACACAAAGTCATCTTGAGTACAGTACAGTAGCTATAAAAACACATAAATTAAAATACTGTTCTGTACATTTAAACTACTATGTACTGTACCTGTATATTCACAATTCACTCGAGCAGAGATCAGGAAATAAAATAAATATTTGTATGAACTAATTTTACAGAATGGTACAAGAAGCAATCAAGTACAGTGCAGAATAAAATATACTGTATCAATAAATTTACTGAAATAATCTTTTTTTTTTTCCTCTAGCAATGCTCTTGAGAATCTTGGTGAAATGTTGAGTTAAGGTTTCTTGAGTTGCACTTGTATTCTTATTCCAGTAACCCCCCACCCATTTGTAGTGGGAAAGCAGACTAGTATGGCTCAGGCCTTTGACATGTGTACACCTGGAGCAAAGGAACTGCACTTTGTCTCTGCCCTGCAAACCTACAATAAGAATTAGACTGGGCCTGAAGTAAACTAAAGCCAATTACACCAGAATGGCAAATGATACCTCAAAACTAATAATTTAGTTTACAAGCACACATGATGCTGGGAATCAGCAACATGATTCAGGCTGGGTACACCTGAATGTGAAAGTGACTGCATCCAATAGGAAGAATGGTGGAAGCAGCAGAGTTTGAAAAATATATATACCATGCAGAATTTTGCCAATCTCTGTACAGGAATTGTACTGCCGTGGTTAATAGAACTGGAGAGTTCTTTTTTTGGGATGCAACCCCCCAAGAGTCTAACTCCCAGGTACTGTACCTATTTACTGCTATCTGAACAATAGCATTAGGTGAAATAAAATGTGTCCATCCATTTATGTCTTGTCCGAGAATTGAACCCAGGATCCCCAATTGTGAGAACCGCTGCTCACCAGTTCCAATTTTCAAATATGTAACCGAATGCATCAAAACAGTTCAGCGGGATTTTATGAATTTGGCGACATTCTTCGATTGTTGCACTCAAAATATTAAACAACAAAATCTCAAGTACTAGAAAAGACAACAAATATTTCTATATACAGGATTAGGCTCAGAATTTTGAAGATGCTATATATATGATTCCCATTATCAAGAGTTTATGAATTATCTCAGTTTACCTATTAACATTTTCTAGATACAGTATATAATCTACACGTAACTTTGTAGATGCAGTATATAATCTACATAACTTTGTAGATACTATATAATCTACACATAACTTTGTAGATCACTATAAATCTTATTTAAACACAATCTACAAAGTCAATGTTTTTTAGCAAAGGGTTTTATTATAAGCATAAATGAATTAAATGAAAAAATATTCAAGCATCTTGTTTAAAAATGAATGCTTAGCATAGTGAATATTATGCTGTTTAATACTTAGAAAGTATTAAACATATTGGAAATAATTACAGTATTACAATAATCCATCATCACTTTCATGACAGTAATCACCTAGTTGTGCTTGCGGGAGTTGAGCTTTGGCTCTTTTGTCCTCTCAACTGGTGTACAGATTCTGCAGCTTATTGGACTATCAAATCTACATTTGAAACTGTACATGAAGCCTGCCTCCACCACAGTGTGCACCATTGGTCATATTCTACATTACAGGTTTCTCATGCAGCTGTTAGTGTCCACCAGTGGTACAAACACGTGAACTGTTTTGAACTGCTTCTAATTCAGCACAAACAAATGTTTATTTCTGGGGATTTAATATTGCTACTATGGATGTAGGGATGTTATCATTCTAGGTGTACCAACAGCTTTATAAGAAACCCATACTGTACCACCAGTGGAGCACACCATCATGAACGTGTTAAAAGTTTGTATGTAAAATAGCAGTAGTATTACAGTAATTACATCTATTTACTGATGTAAAAAATATAATACTGTAGCACAGATGATTCCTGATGGTATTAGAAAGTCTTCTAATGTATTCAGGGCTCTTAATCTGCACTTTTTAATGTAATATATGCTATTTGATAAAATATTCATCTAACAATGATATATTTTTTGTAGAGAGGCCTGCACATTGAGATACATAAAGATACCTATAGTTTCTTAAATATTAACATCAAATACTGTATACAGACCTTATAGCATTTTCAAAATATATTATGGTAGAATATTTTTTCTCCGATATACTGTACAAGGTCAGTCTTTCAAGCAATAATTTCACAATCCTTACACTAAAAATCACAGTAACAGCGCTGTATTTAATATTGAATTTCGCTATAAATTCACAAATTAAAAATAATTAAAGAATATTATCACAGATTTGTTTTAATTTATATGATAAAATATACCAGTATCATAAAGTAAACATTATCACAAATAACTGGAACACATTAAAATATATCACCAAGCCAAAAATATATTATTGAATTTACATTCTCTTGAACTTTAAAATTTACATATATTTACTATAATCCCCCTATTTTGGTCTAGAATGCATTCATGGAAAATTAAAAAATTAAATTACAATTTTTGCTCCATTTTGGACCATTATAAAATCTCACTCCACTGCAGTGCACTTTCATTTTAAATTTAGATACCACCAATTTTTTAACCAACAAAAGTGACCACATAGTACTGAAGTAAAGAACATTTTCATAGAAATACTGAAGGTGCAAAATAGCACTGTCATACAACAATTTTGGTGCCTCTACCATTCTAGGCAGCATTTATATGGTCGGGAGTTGGGCAGTGACATCTAGCATACCATGGGTAATATCTTTAAATACAGTATATTTTTCAAATAAAATTTTTACCCCATTTAGCCACAAGGACATTATGTACCATTACACATCATACTTTTGGCCACATTTTCTCATGCTGATATGTTAGTATTTGTTGTATAAGGTACAGAACTAAATATTTTGGAATAATTTGGGGAAAGCGTATAGATTTCAGTTAACAATTGATAGAAATTTTAACTATTTTTTAAAATACTGTACACATTTCAACTGCCATATAAAGAAACAACCATTCCTCCACAACCTACATAGTTACCAACTTTTTGTCATGAGTAAATAATTTTTTTTTGCTGACTGTAGAATCTAGTCTACACAGTATCATAATTTATACATACTGTATTCCTCTCTAATGTTCTGGAAAGTCTATCTGAACACATTGATACATATACTGATGTTAAAATACATCACTATGAAGCTTTAATACACAGTACAGTACTAAATATAAGACAACAATGTAATAAGTTCTCTTAAATATTACAATATTACAATTAAAGTTTGAGATCACACTAGAGCTGTCTTTCTAGCACTGACAAAATACAGTTCAACAGTAATACAACTATTGTAATACAGTACCAATAACAGAAACATAGAATGCTAGAAATCCAGTTTTAATTGTTCATGTATATAAAACTGATGGAAGCTACAAATTACAAAATTGTGTTACAGCACTTCTCTGCCTTGGGCTAATCAACATTAACCTTATTATGATTAAAACTGGGGCATGTAGATGACGATGCCATTCGAGCTGTGCATGACCTAAGAGCAAGGATATTGCTAATCTGAAAATTTAAGCTGTTATTCATATAATTCTCTCTCATAGCCAAGATCTCTCTCTCAAGGTGTGATTCCTGAGGTTTACCTAAAATATGAGAACTAAGAGAATACATATCAGCCAATCTCCCATATGGAATGCCAGACATGTATTCATAAATGCTTGGGATACACTGTGCTTCTCTTACTTGATTTGTGAGTGTTAAAAAAGATGTGGGGAATAAATCTTGATCGGTATTCCCATATTTGTCATCCAGCAAACAATTCATTGTTGTTGGTTTATGCTCAAGCTCTTTTTGTGATTCAGCTGGTGGTTCCAATATAAGATGCTGCCTTTCAGCTAAAAGGTCTGATGTATGTTCTTGTGCTCTAAGTGACAAAAAAGAACGTAATTTTACCGACTGCAGGCTAGTTTCCTTGCTTTTATTTAATGGTTTCGTTCTAGTATATTTTTGAAATTTATCTAATGGGGCAAAGGCCAAGTGTTTTGATTTTCGTGGGAGTTCTCGCTCTTCATTGAACTTGGTAACTGACCTAGTTGATAGTTCCGGGTTAATTTCATATCCTTCATTCACTAAAGGTAGACTTCTTTTTCTTGGTTTTTGTTGAGCAGTTCTCTTAATGTCAATAGGTGAAAGACGTGCACAGGATTGTTTCAGCCTGTCATCTTTCTGCTTTTCCTTTGAAAGCAGAGAATGTATGTCATCAGAAAATTCTCCAACTTCATCCTTTTTCATATCTGATGCAACAGAGTTCCCTTTAGTCATACTTTTTTGACCATCATTGAACAAAATAGGTAACACTGGTAGTGGTTTTGGCCAGCTGAGTTTAAGTGGTCCATGTGGGAATTCAGTACTTGTTGGTACTGTTTTCGCAAGGAATAACTTGGTAGTCTCATCATCAGTGTGTAGGCCTCGAGTATCTTCTGACTGCTGCCTTTCATGTCTAGATGGATAAGAGGGGGACCTCGAAAGTGATCTCAAATATTTGTCTAAATTTGTAACATTTTTGTGTTCAGCACCAATTCCCAACTTGTTCAAGGCCAGCTTTCTGTTTTTAATAGATTGAACACATGAATATTGGGGTGATATTTCCTCACTTGTTCTGCTTATGTCATCCATATTAAATTCTACATCTTGATATACTGTTTCAATCTCCTTAACAAGGCAATCCCCTTTAGAATAAATGTTCATTAAAGAAGATGTCTTCCCCTGACTCTTAAGAATAGCATCCATATTATGCAATTCTTTCTTATTTTGTGCATTATTTTTGTACATACAGACTTCTTTTTTTTCTGTCAAAAAAACATTATTTTTTAACAACAACAAATTACTTGCCCTGCTCATCTCTGCACCAGCTTCCTGACAGTTTATAGTTTCAGGCATGCTTCTCGTATCCCCATCGAAATATGTGGAATCTACATCTTCGTTATAGATGATACTTTTTCTATCAGAGCTTTTAATCATGTTATTTGGTACAAAATAATTTTCCTCATTTGGAATACATTTCCTTGCCAGTTTACTGCAAGAAGCATTATTAATATTATTATCTATCATAGCTTGTAACATACATGAACCAAATGTGGTAAATTCCTCTATGGGAGAATTTCCTGCATTTTGTGTGACAGTCTTTGTTAAAACTTCAGTGCAATTGACAGTATTTAGAAGAGCTTTATTTATAACTTTTTCAGTTTGGCAGTCTTGCGATTGTATATTTTTCTCATTGTTAGTGTAGCTTTTCCCTGGAGTGCTTAATTTTATTAATGGACATGTATCTCCCGTCTTATCATAAGTAGATTTAATATCATGCTCAAAATCAAATGGTTTGTTATCCTTCATGGAAACATCAATACCATTGTTAATGTATCTTTCCTTTGTCAAACAAGCATCATCTTCATTTGCAAAGTGATTACTCTTTTCATGAAGACCATTACTCTCTTCATGAAGACCATCTTGCTCTACATGAAGACCATTACTCTCTTCATGAAGACCATCTTGCTCTACATGATCATCACCCTCTTCATGAAGACTATCTTGCTCTACATGAAGATCATTACCTGCTTCTTGAAGATCATTACCCTCTTCATGAAGACCATCTTGCCGTACATGAAGATCATTACCTGCTTCTTGAAGATCATTACCCTCTTCATGAAGACCATCTTGCTCTACATGAAGACCATCTTGCTCTACATGAGCATCACCCTCTTCATGAAAACTATCTTGCTGTACATGAAGACCATCTTGCTCTACACGAAGATCATTACCTGCTTCATGAAGATCATTACCCTCTTCATGAAGACCATCTTGCTCTACATGAAGATCATTACCCTCTTCATGAAGACCATCTTGCTCTTCATGAAAATCATTACATTCTATATGAAGACCATTGCATTTTCCACGAAGACCACTGGACTCTTCATGATCATCATTATGCTTTTCAAGAATACCATTGCACTCTTTACTAACACCGTTATGCTCTTTATGAACAGCCGTATGTTCTTCATGAAGAACATTACGCTCTCCAAGAATATCTTTCCGCTCCTCATGAAGACCATTATGCTCTTCATCAACACACTTATGCTCTTCATGAAGACTACTGCACTCTTCATTAACTCCATTGTGATCTTTATGAACATCCTTACAATCGTCATGAAGAACACTGCACTCTTCTTGAAGATTATTATGGTCTTCATGCACATCTTTATGCTCTTTATGAAGACGACTGTGTTCTTCAGGAAGACTATTGCAGTCTTCATGAAGCTTCTTACCCACTTCATAAAGATCATTACACTTTTCATAAAGATGATTATCCTTTTTACAAAGACCATTAGCCTTTTCATACATACCATTAGCCTTTTCATACATACCATTATCCTCTTCACATATATCCTCCTCCTCCTTTCCACAAAGATTATTGCCCTCTTCATGAACACCATTATTCTTTTCACATACATGATTATCTTCTTCACATGCACGATTATCTTTTTCACATACATGATTATCTTCTTCACGTGCACGATTATCTTTTTCACATACATGATTATCTTCTTCACGTGCACGATTATCTTTTTCACATACATTATTATCTTCTTCATGTGCACGATTATCTTTTTCACATACATGATTATCTTCTTCATGTGCACGATTATCTTTTTCACAAAGGACATTACCCTTTTCACGATGACCATTAACCTCATCATGAAGACCATTACCCTCATCATGAAGACCATTACCCTCATCATGAAGACCATTACCCTCATCATGAAGCCCATTACCCTCATCATGAAGACTATTACCCTCATCATGAAGACCATTACCCTCATCATGAAGCCCATTACCCTCATCATGAAGCCCATTACCCTCATCATGAAGCCCATTACCCTCATCATGAAGACTATTACCCTCATCATGAAGACCACTACTCTTCACAGGTATGTCTTCTCCTGCATTTCTTACCTGCTTTTCCAAAATACTCCAATTGCTTCCATTTTGCAAAGGACTCTTTTTATGAAAACGATCATGAGACTCCCATCCTGAAATATACTGCTTAGTAATGTCATCTTCATTTACATCTTTAGTGTTAAAGTTGTCATTAACACAAGTTTCTACTTCAGGTATTTTTAAATGTGCCCGACCTGCCACTCGTCTGATAACAAGGGAGAGTGGTGATCCTTCTGATGAAATGCATTCATACTGGTCACTAATTTTCATTCCTTTGAGGCAGATTTTCAAGAAATTATAATGAGGGTCAGTATGTACACGTCGATGTTTGGAGAGAGAAGTAGAAGTGGTGAAAGATGCACTGCAATCTGAACAGGAATATGGGTCTATGCTAAAATGGTGTTTTTCGTGTTTTTTGAGTGATGCAGATGTTGTAAAAAATGTGCCACAAAGATGACACATGAATGGAGTTGCATTAACATGGTTTCGAATGTGCTGCTCTAAATGTGAAGCTCTCCTGTATGTTACAGTGCATATATGACACTTGAACGGCTTGTTAGTTTTATGAATTAGCATGTGCCTGTTGAGATCTGAAGTAGTAAAAAACTTCATTCCACATTCTCTGCATGCATGACGTCTTTCACCAGTATGTCTACGCACATGCAACTGCAGATGACATTTTCGTATAAACCCAGAACCACATAATTCACAAAGATAGGGCCTCTCACCACTATGAATTCTAGCATGCCGCTTGAGTTCTGAAGGAGACCGAAAGTACAAATCACATAAATGACATTTATGAGGCTTCTTGTATGGATTCATTTTTTCAGGGTCCTCTTTAAAACCTCGCATATATAAAAATCTCCTGTTATTGAAAGATTTCTTCCTAAAGTTATAATTTTGCCATATGCTCCTCCTACTTCTTGAAACTACAGACTGAGTAAGACAACCTGAGATCTGACTCTCTGTCAGAGCTGATGTACTGTCTTGAAAATGTTCACTAGGAACAATTCCACCAGCTTGGCTTCTGTTTGTCAGAGATTGACATATAATTTTCAGCAACTGACTGTACTGCTCATTATTTTCAAGTGCATGTTCTTCCTCTACCACTTGTATTTTATCAGATTCAACAGAATTATAATCCTGAGTGCTTGTTCCTCTTTCATCATCCTCAGTACTCATTCTTTTTTCACCATCCTCAGTGGTTGTTCCTGTTTCACCACCCTCAAAGCTTGTTCCTTTGTCACTATACTCAGTGCTTGTTCCCTTTTCACCATCCTCAGTGGTTATTCCTTTTTCACCATCCTCGGTGCTTGTTCCTTTTTCACCACCCTTAGAGCTTGTTCCTGTGTCACTATACTCAGTGCTTGTTCCCTTTTCACCATCCTCAGTGGTCATTTCTTTTTCACCATCCTCGGTGCTTGTTCCTTTTTCACCATCCTCAGTGCTTGTTCCTTTTTCACCATCATCAGTACTTGTCCCCTTTTCACTATCATTAATGCTTGTCCCTTTTTCACCATCCTCAATGCTTGTCCCCTTTTCACCATCCTCAATGCTTGTCCCTTTTTCACCATCCTCAATGCTTGTCCCTTTTTCACCATCCTCAATGCTTGTCCCTTTTTCACCATCCTCGGACCTTGTTCCCTTTTCACCATCTTCAATGCTTGTTCCCATTTCACCATCTTCAATGCTTGTTCCCATTTCACCATCCTCAGTGCTTATTCCTTGTTCACCATCCTCAGTGGTTATTCCTTTTTCTCCATCCTCAGTGGTTATTCCTTTTTCACCATCCTCAGTGCTCATTCCTTTTTCACCATCCTCTGCGCCTGTTCCATTTTCACCATCCTCAGTACTTGTTCCTTTTTCACCATCCTCAGTGTTTGTGCCTTTTTCACCATCTTCAATGCTTGTTCCCTTATCATGATCCTCAGTGCTTGTTCCTTTTTCACCATCCTCAGTGCTTGTTCCTTTTTCAATTTTATCTAATATTTTGTTACTGTCATTTTCAGTTGTATTTTCCTTTAAATGCTTGTTCAAAGTGTCCACTGATAATTCATTTTTTTCATCTCCAGTGCCACTTATAGCATTCCTTGGGGTATGGCTACTTTTTTTTTTTTTACCTTTTGAATCTTTAGAAACTGTGGATATGAATTCATTTTCTGGTTCATCAAAAGACACATCACAGGAAATAAGTGGCACTTCAGATTCTTCACTTTCCGACCCAGGATTTGGTACATCAGCTTGCTCATTCTGTTTAGATACAGAATACCCACTTTTTACGGCAAGATCACTGGCACAGCAATCTTCAATTTCATTTTCTTTAAAATCAGGAACAGACCTATCTGATAATAATTTGCTTACTTCTCCCATTAAAAGCATATGATCCAGAGGGGCTGCATGACTAAAAAATCCAGTGGGAAACAAACTATGCTCTAGTTCACAAACTTCAGTGATCATGTTGTCATCTTCCTGTTTAATACTCTTAGTCTGTATCTTCAGGTAAGGAATTGTATCCTCCTCATCAGTTTCAAAACATTCTATATCATCCTCTAGTTCGGCAAATGAGTAACTTCTGTTCCTCAGTTTACGCTTCTTTAAAATGCAGACTGTTTTGCCTCCAGGCCGATAGGTACTATCAACTTTGGCTTTACTCTTAGGCCTCTTGCACTTTTTTCGACTTCTCTCCATGTTCAGGGAACTCTGATTATCACTAAGAGATAATATTTGCTCAGTTACTCCACATCTTGCATCATCTGAATATTCAGTTTCAAAATGGCTTTGTTGATGTTTTGGCTTTGTGTTACTAGGAGGATCAAATACTTGGTGGGTTCGTCTTCTGTGTCGTAACAAACACGAAGATGTTACAAACCACATGCCACATATATCACATACATGTCGTCTATCTTCAATATGTCGCCTCATGTGCACTTCAACATGATCCTTGCGTTTGAAGCACATGTCACACAACTGACATTTGAAAGGCCTTTCACCACTATGAATTCTTCCATGACGCTCAAGCTCATAAGGGGTCCTAAATGAAGTTTCACACTGATCACATTTGTGTGGCTTCTTATAAGGTCCTTTATCATTTTCAGAACTAATTAAACTTAGGTGATCTCCATTATTTTGATTTGAACATAAAGAGTACCCACTCTTATCTAAACCACAACGGGACACTAAATTTGTATCATCTATGGATTCATCTAACTGTTCATCAACTTCCTGCTTAATTTTATCATTTGACACTATATAATCTGTTAAGCTGTCATATTGAGCATCATTACCATGAGTATCTTTCTCACTAGATTTCTCTTTCCTGTATTGTTCTTCACTATTGCCTATTGTTTCTGAGCATATTGTACCACTGTTATTTTTATGACTGTTCTTTTTCGTGGGTTCAGGTGCAACAACATCAACACTGTCACCTGGTGTTTGTTTTGGACTATTAGCCAAGCAGTTGTTATACTCGGTATTCTTCCTTGAAGCGTCTTCTTCCTCACATATCCTATGTTTGTAAATTTTCATTGTTATACAAACAATTTACTGGATGCTATACAGTAATACACATAAACCACATCCTATGACAAACATTTTATATACTCTTTATCAATATACTGTACTGTACTATAATATACTGTATACAGATTTGTATTGAACTATATGTTATTGATATACAGGTACATTGCTATATTGCATATTTGTATTAAATTAAACAATCCGATTCTTCCATGGAGCTTGTTTTGTTAGTTTGGATGGGTTCTGAAGTGCTGATGGGAGGGGTTCCTTATCTGGCCTCAACTGCATATTTCCCAAGTGACCTAAAACAATGAGGACAATCACTTTACTACCTTTCAGAGAACAGGAAAAGAAAATAGGATCTAAAACACCTAACTCGTATACAATACAATATTCCTTACTACAAGATCGAGATGTTACTTGGTGTTTCCACAGTCAAACAAGTGCTGATTCTGAACATTTATGAAGAAGTATGTTAGTGAAGAAATCAATACTATATGGAAAAGAATTAGTTGTTGAAATTTATGCAGACAAGACTAAATGGAGTGGAAAAAATAATGAAGTGAAAGACAAAATTAGCCAGAAAGCTTGGAATAGTGGTTATTCTAGAGAACTGGAAAAGAGTAACAATTATACAGATGCCTGAAATGCCCGGCATATTAGTGATTTTATGAAATCCCTTATATTTTATGAAAAGAATTAGTTGTTGAAATTTATGCAGACAAGACTAAATGGAGTGGAAAAAATAATGAAGTGAAAGACAAAATTAGCCAGAAAGCTTGGAATAGTGGTTATTCTAGAGAACTGGAAAAGAGTAACAATTATACAGATGCCTGAAATGCCCGGCATATTAGTGATTTTATGCATTACAGTATACTTATCTATGAATCCTCCAATGTTCATGTATCATATGTTTGTGTTCTTGTGTAAATAAAACATCTTTACAGCTGCAGACAACGGCTCACAGTAACGTGGCTGAAGATATCACGACCAAATCACTCATTAGAAAAAGAAGAAACAATGATGTTTCGGTCAGTCCTGGACCATTATCAAGATGTGTAATAGTCCTGGATGGACCAAAACATACAATATATAATTTCTTCATTTTCTGATGTGTGGTTTGGTCACCATTATTGCAGGTATTATATTAAAATGAAATACAACATAATTAGGATACATACAATACTGTACTCCAAAACCAACAATCCATTGGTAGTTTTACAAAATTCAACATCAAAGAATTAAACCGGTTAGTGATAATGGTGGTAGTCTATGGTTCACCTTATAGTTTTCCATAGTAGGGGACAGTAAGCCTATTAGGCTTATCAAGGTTCCCCCTAGGCCAACTACTGAATCCAGGACTCACACTTGCAAGCCATTACATTATTTCTTATTCAATATCTCAGGTTTTTTTTTTTTTTGCTTTAGGACCTGCCCAAAATACTATGAATGTTTGTGGCTCTGCAAGAATGTACCACTTAATCACTAATGTATGTACAGTATCTGGACAACACATATATATGTTACTCCAGACCACTTCTATAAAAAGTCACATGTAACACATACAGGGGGGGGGGGAGCAACTGCTTCAAGCTCAACAAGTCACAATGTAGAACAGAAAGCAGATGTTTTTTCCACCCACTGGGTTATAAACTTCACCAGCTGCCTGTCCTCGTCAAGGGCCACTAGTGTTATTGGCTCTCAGGTAAACTCAGGTAAACCAATGGAACCTCCTACCTGCCACAGCCGTAAATTGCCAAGACATTACTGCAGTTCAAAACTGAGTTGGGGAAAAAATCAGGAAAAAGGAGGGACCTCTGACAAGCCGCCGACTTCCTGCTCCTGTCGTGACCACTAGTGTTTGCACTTTGATATACATAATACATTCGCATTCATACATGAATTGTTCACCGCGCAACACATTTACCATACACCTGTACCACACTTGGACGGTGTCAATGATATTTAGCGAACAATACTTAATAAATATGAACAAATGCTGATGTCTCTTTGGCACAGCATCAAAAAAATAAAAAATACTGTATACCAAATGTCCATCTATCAATTGGTCAATTTGGCTCTACTTAAACAAAGGTTTCCACTAACTGACTGAAATACACACCCCGGAGAGACCGAGGAGATCGAGACCACAGTTGCACAGTTGCACCAGACTCCCGGCAACACCCAGTCAGCTCTGTCACAGGTGCCGTGACCGTCGTGGCCTGGCAGGACGGGCAGGACGAGCTCCTTCCTCCTGCAGGTTCCTGCAGGTGCTGGTGCCGCCTCCTCCACCCTCAGCCACAGCCGTCGATATTTGGGCGCTTACAGCCCGGCCTCGCCGTCCCCCTCGTCTCCCCTCCTCTCTCTCCCCCTCACTACCGCCACATATAAATTTACCTGAATTTACCTGACGGCAACCATCTTTCTAGTGTATGTATTTATATATCTTTTATCGTATATCTATTGGTATCTATTGGATTTGTATCAAATACATACTAGTGTATGTATTTGTATCTCACCTTGTATGTATTTGTATTTCACCTTGTATGTATTTGTATCTCACCTTGTATGTATGTACTTTACCTGAATAAATATTTGTATTGTATTTGTATATTCATAGTGGCCTCGATCGTAGGGGAAAGGGAACCGCCGGTTTGTCAAAGGTCCTCCATAAATGTTCCTGTCCCTTATATTATCATAAACATACATACATACATACATACATATTCATACATACATACATACATACATACATACATACATACATACATACATACATACATACATACATACATACATATATACATACATACATACATACATACATACATACATACATACATACATACATACATATTCATACATACCTAAACATACAACTGTTATTGATATACCAGTATATTTATATATCACTTGCCTGGTTATCCACTAATGAGTACTAAATTGGTGGCCCAGGAGTTGATTTCACACCCAGCCTATATAATAAGGCTTTATACTGATTACATGACTTCCAGGCAAACAGCGTACCTAATGAACGACATAGACGTGTAGTCCACGAGTCAAATTAGCAACATGGAGTTGTACAATCAATCCTTGGTGGCACTGCAACCCAGACCACCTCCTAGACATTCGTGCAGTTTTGTATAAATCCTCCAGAACAAGCCAAGATGGTTCACTACCCTACAGATTATCCTCAACTTAACATCATCTAGTATTCTAGTCTCTGTCCCCCATCCCCCCAACGTGACCTGCAGCTCCAGAGATCAAATTATATCCCAACTGTTCTGACAGATGCACATATTACTACAGCCAGCAAGTGGAGCGCACCACTTATATCTCCTATGGCTTATTTTTATTACAGCACTTTGAAAGAGCCGTGGTTAAGAGTAAAACCTTTTAATGTTTACCAGCATATTTTATAGGCTGATGATGTTAGCCTGTTTGTGTGTGCCTCTGGAGATAGTGTTGGAACTACACTCACTCTCAAATCCTTTTTCTCTCTTATACAGTATTTGCCTTCCCCCTTATGTTGTAGATGCCTTCTGGTGTCCTTTCTCTCTTTACCATCTTCACTACCTTACACTTGTTGGGATTGAATTCTAGTAACCATTTGTATGCCCACTCCTCTAGTTTGTCAAGATCATCCTGCAATCCTCACTTTTTACATGCTTCATTAGCTTTGTCAGCAAGCATTGACATGTACACACACTCTTCCTCAGGTAGGTCATTTACATAAATTAGGAATAGTAGGGGTCCCAGGACTGACCCTTAGGCAACTCCACTTATTACTTTCCACCAACTCAAAGCCTCATCTCTGACTGACTATATTCTGTCCTTTAGGTAGTCCCTTACCCAGTTCAGGTGTCTTCCTAGTTATCCCTGCATGCTTCTCTGTCTCAAACACCAGCCTTTCATGATGAACAGTATCAAATGTTTTTTGACAACCTAGGAAACTAGTCTACCCCAGCCTTCTTTTTCATGTCTTTGTTATAGAACTCAATCAAGTTTGTCAGCCATCACTTTCCCCCTTCTAAATCCATGCAACCCATGTGTTACAAAGTTTATCCTCTTCAGGTCTTCAATTATTCTCAACCTCATTACCTTTTCCATCACTTTATATGGAATACTCATCAGTGACAAAACTTTCCAGATATTCTGTATTGCTTGTAAACATTCTTCAAAATTAATTACTAAAACTGCCTCTGAACTCAATGTATCAAATTAATGTATCAAAATCAATGTATCAAAACTTCATCAAGAGAGAGACAACAACTGCAATTCCATGCACCATGGATGATTACCCCTTTCCAGATTATAATCCCTCCCCACCCAAAAAGCAAATTAATGATTAGTTAAAGTTTTATCTTGAGGCAAAGTACAATGCCTAAAACTAAATTGATATGCCACTCACATGCAAAGGAAATTCAAGACAGCAAAGACCAGCTACCTGTACTTGAGACATTAATTTGCAAGCACTCAATGGTTAGAAATAAATAAAAATAGATTCCAAGCTACTTTGGACTATGAGGGATGCCTTTATCTAGCAGTGTACAGTACTTAAGAAAACTGATGACATGAAATGAAGTGCTATTAACATTTAAGTAAATACGGTGTTAAAATCATTCATCATTTAGACTGAAATCAACTTTTAATATTTGAACAACAGTACTAAATAAGTACTATGTTGGGATTGAAGCCTTGAACCAGGTACCGTGTTGTAACTATAGTTAGTTTCTCCTGGCACTGAATTTAGTCAGCCAATTGTTTTACATCCATGCTCCATGCTTACATTTATAACCTATACAGGGGGGGTACCTGAGAGTAAGACAGCTGCTTCCTGGGAATATGTGTGTGTGAAATTTAGGATTAAGGACTTGCCGGAAACACTATGCGTGCTAATGGCTGTACAAGAATGTAAGAACTCTTGTATATGTATGTGTGTGTGTGTATATACCTGGGTATATATATATTATATATTATATAAATATATATATTATATAAATGCTACAGGGTTAACAAATAGTCAAGGAATGGCGTCCAATCATCCTACCTAGCCCAGAAATCAAACTCAATTTTTCTTTTTTTATAGGCACGTGTACTAACCACTGTACCACAGGATACTTTTAATTATTATTATTATTATTGCAGGCATAAAGCCAAAATTTAAGGATACAGAATAAAATACATTATTAGGTTATTTTGTGATACATTTTTGGATCAAATTATTTTACAGGTACAATGCACAAATCTTATATACTATATAAATTTGTTTAATCTAAAAATATATCTATAACAAAGATTAAAGTTTATTATACCATGACAACTGCATGGCGCCTTAAAGTTACATTTTTTTTCTCAACTACTTTCCCTCTCCTGTCGGCAGTTCTTCTCTTTTTTGATTCTTTAAATGATTCTTGCTTCTTCTTCTTCTTTTTCACTGCAAGATGTGGATTAATAGCACGCTGTTGGTGGTCCTGTGCACGCCTCTCCCATCTTTTCTTGGAAAGTACAACCTGTGCGGCAGTAAAGTAACGAGTGTAAGTTTCTAGACCAACACACTCCTTCACTAGTGCTGCAACTTCTTGGGTCCTTGCAGCAAGAGACTTAGGAACATGCTCATCAGATAATTCACGAACAAGATGCTTTACCATGTAAGTAAGAAGAGTTGGTGCTTTTACTATGTCTCCAGCTGCAACAACCAGACCAGCCATAAGGTTTAACAATGCTTCACGCACTACAGTATAATCCTTCCCACTCTTTTGCAGCTCTTCATAAGCCATGTCACCAACACGACGGATGACCCACACTGCACTAGGGACAATGGTCTCTTTCCCTGAAGATTGGTTTTCATTCCTAATATTTTCACTCTCACCTTCAGCAGTACTCTCTTTTTTAGATTTTAGTACCAATGACACTTTACATGAATGGCGAACAAGATATATGAGGTTCCTGATGACAGTAAGTGATAACTGCATCACAAGAGGAATGCCAGCTGAAGCTTGTGTTCGCAAAAGTTCACAAAGGTCTAATACAAGGGAGCGTGCTCGTTCAGTTGAAACAGCAAGTGAGGGTGATGACTCACCCTCTATGGGGTGTGCAGCTAATAGATGACCTATCAAGCCAGCAGCACTTAGTCTCACCTGTATATGTGGGTACTGTAAATGAGCCTGCACAAAGTCCCACATACATTCATTAACATGTTTATTCCATTCTGTATGACTTAAGAAAGTGCTTACAAGTTTGGTCAGCACTTCCAGAAGAGCAGATAAAGTGGTATCAATTTGTCGAAGATGGACATCCATGTCCACCTCATCAAATTCATCCTGTTCATTGCTAATACCAAGCTGAGTACGGTACCTTGATGGACTAATAAGCTTGATTATTTGTGGAGTGACACATGACAAAAGACTATTTGGTAGTTGTTTAACAGGTATGTCAAGAAAGGCATTTAGAGCTTTAGAAGCCAATTGTATACCTATTAATTCTGATGCAGCATTTCCATCATTCTCTTCTAAAAGCTTCATACACAACTCAATTAACATTTCTTTCCTTTGGGATCTCTGAAAGAGTGTCTTCAAAGCTTTATGCAACAAAAACAAGTTTTCTTTAGATTCATCTTTCAACATCTGTTCGGATAATTTGAACCATAAACTTGTTTCCATTGCCTTGCTAAACACTTTAATGGGAAAGTTGGCAATAATAGCATTGATCATAGTTGTGGCAGATAACCGACCCTCCTCATGTGTATATGATACATTACCAAGAAAATACAGTACATTTGCTTCCACACGTTTTGGCTTCATCGGATATGTGAGAAGGTATGTATAGTAAGTGATACGTGCTTGCTGCAATGCATATTGCCGACCACATGTAATACTCATTTCTCGGACATGTTTCATCAACTCGTGCAATTCAGGAGCATCTATCTTTCTTGCAACAATAGCCTGGAGAACAATAAAAGCTGTCTGTTGCTGACTACGGTCTTCAAGATTTCCTTCTACATACTGTAACAGCACACGCACCTCTTCTTCATTCAACAAATAAAATTCAACTGTTTTAAGAATTAAAGCCAAGGTCTTAAAAGAAAACTGAACAAGATCATAGATCTTTCCCTTAGCAAGCTCTGGAGAAGAAAATTTGTCCAAGATTATAAACATCTGTGCACAAATATTTTTCAATTCCTTCTGCAGAGTAAGAAGGGGAAATTTAACTATACAAGTAACACACTTCAGTGCTTGTAAACTCACTTCAGGATATTCAGAATTTATACAGCGTGCCAGCACTGAGACATATGGCTCCAACAGCTTCTGGTGCTCAAGCTCTTTTGGAATTAGTTTTTCCTTCTTCATTAAATTACAGAGGAGATGTAATGCAAATTCAATTAGTACATGAGCAGTTGCCTTCATGGACGTTTTGGGGTTAAGCCTTGTTCTCTTTGGCTCAGGTTGAAGCAGGAATGAGTCTGCTCTTTGAATACCTTTCTTATTTGCTAGTTTCCCAAGAGTCTTGTCAGTTGTTATTTCAGTTAATTTTTCATTTAAAATTCCATATATGAAAATGGATTTATGAGTAATAGATATATTTTCATTCTTCTCCAGTCCCTTAGCAATTTCAGTCAAGCATCTAGTCATTTTATTAACTACTTTCTTGTCTTGTGTATCAGCTAACACATCCTTTAGTGGCAGAATAATATCTCTAAGGCGGTCTGCTGATATGAATTCAGCTGTAAAGCATAAGATATCATAGCCTTTATCACTTCGTGCTTCTTTTACCTTACTGGTTATCTGAATGACTTGTTTCTCCTCTGCTTGCAAACCAAGAATATCTTCTTTGCAAATATTGACCATCTGTGCCATGCATGCATCCACATCCTTTGGGGTCAGAACTGGGCGTAGCTGAGACAACACTGAATGCAAGGTGTAAACCAATACATGTGCTTGAAAACCGCTGGTGAGGATACTTTGTAAATCATTTACCAACCAAGGAAGATATCTCCCACCTAGTTCAACCATAATTTTTACAAGCATATTGCGAGACTCTTCCCGAATACTTTCTGCTTTGGATTTTAAGAAAGTAATCATTTTCATAAGTACGTTATTAACATTGGCATTAAGTACTTTTCTGGGTAGTTTCTTGAGGAGTTTTATTAATGCAAATGCAAGAGGGATACGTTTAATATCTTCATCTTCAGGATATCTACTTTTGTTAAGTTTGTGTTCTGTTTCTGCTTTCGTTTTAGCAGCCAGGGTACTCTGAATCTGTGGAATGATGGTGTTAACGAGTGTACAATAGATCTTCTGTGGTTTACTTACGGAGTCCTCAACGATTCTCATTGAATGATCATCCTCTCCATCCTCTTCAACACTTTCTCCTACTTCAGACATATTTTGTTCATTTTTTTGCACACTTTGTGAGGCACTATCATATTTCACCGATTTCTTCTTCATAGCAATATCAAGCTCTTCAACATCCTCATGAAAGCCATTAAGTACAGCATCTAAAAGTCTTACTCCAAGCTTGAGATGCTTGAGATCTTCTTTGAACAACACACTCAAGTAGTTTCGTAACATTTTTTGGTACGGATGCCAAGGTAGGAGTTTAGCAAATGCTCCAATGCAATTTACCGAGCTAGATATCAAATAATCCTCTTTCGCATACATATCTTTGAATAGATATGATGTTACCAATGGCATTAGGAAATCTGTGACAGTTTGAGTTGTAAACGAAAGGGTGCCGTTGTTTAATGCATCTGCTAGCTTTCCCAAAGCTCGGGCTCGTCTGTGTCTCTGAATGTGCCCCATGTTGCTAAAGAAATCAGAGTCTTCATCAATTTCATCTGCGAGTTTATAAAGATCCTTTAGTGTGTCTATATATTCATGGCATTTGTGTACCATTAGGCGAAGAACTGATATAATTTCTATCCTCACAACTTCCTTTTCACTTTGAAGACCAAGTTTTATCAGTGGCAGGAATCTATCAACCATGAGTTGTTTGAATTCAGAAGGATGAGTTGGCTGCAGTCGAGCAAGCATGTCAGTTACTTCATTTAAACAAACACTTGACAAGTCTCTCAAAGATGAGTCTTCTACATGACATATTACAAACATATTATTGTACAACAAAAGCTGACAAAAGTCTACATCAACTTTATTAAGACACTGTTGAGTTTTGCAATACTCAGTCAATTGCTGGTATCGACTTAGTCGTCGTTCAAAATCAATTTCTTCAACCATTTTAGGGTTCCAAGAATTAAGATCAGCTGCTGCATCTGCAAGTGTCTTGTAATCTGGATTAGTCATGGCTATAGCAGTAATGGCCTGACAGAGGGCATCTCGTGCTTCACGGCTCTTCAGGCAACCAAGCTGAGTAACAAGTGGCCTCAAATATTGAATTGAACTGTCAATTACAGGCAAGAGGTAAGAGCAAGTTATAAGTAGCTGACATATCTTATCTTCCTTTTTAATATGTTTTTTTACGATAAGTGGTATAATAAGACTCAACAAGTCATTACTGATGTCCTTATTTGTGAGCCACTCTGTCAATTTTGTTAGAATAGTGAGGTCCCGATGCGTTACACATCGGCCTTTACCTAATTTGGAGATCATGACTTTCATGCTTTGCAAAAGGCTATCCAGGTGAGGCACAAGCAGTGCCGAACCATAATTCTGTTGATATTTGCCATCCCGTGAATCCAGTTTTGTAACAGGTACAACATGAGAACTTAAGGGAAGGGGCTCCACAGTCTTCTCTCCTTCTTTATTTGTAGCACTGTAATCTTCAAGTGTGAGCAATTTTTCCATAATGTTCAAAATAACAGCAGTTACTGAGTCACTACATTTTTCATGGTTTAACAACTTCACAAGATATGGTAGTGGAGTCAGTGAGGAGTCGTCTTTATGACATTTAGCAAACAAAGGAAAAAATCTAGGGTTTTCAGCCCAACACTGAAAGAGACCTAAAAGAGGCGTTGGTGTGGAGATTCCTTCATCTGGGAGGCGTTTTAGGTTTGGCCAAACAGCTGCTTGGAATACTGCATCAATTTCTTCCAGTGACCAGTGGTAGTCTCTAAACTGCTGGAAAAATGCCAGGAGTCTCTTCTGTGCTTGTTGTCGTAGGTGCTTAAGAAAAGAAATGTTGCGTTCATTTATTTCGGCACGTTGTTCTAGTAGTAATGACACCAGGTTAACTATATAAAGTATAATTTTCAACAAGAAAGGAATCTGATCCGTTAATATATTTCCAATCTTTTCTATTATATTTTCAAGTGTGGTGAGTGCTCCTTGCAGTCTACTAAGAGGTACAACTTTTGTTATGTCAAGGTTCTGACAGCATCGGTTCACCACATCTAGGGCAGTGCCATTTAGATGACTCATCAGTACATCGAAAGATAGCTCAAGGAAAGAATTTAGTTCAGATTCTCTTGCACCAGCCAAAAACCTAAGCACAACAGATTTTCGTACTGAAATCTTAGCCTTGCCAGAACTATTAGAGCCAGTTTTGAAATGCATTTTGCCATACAGAATCCTCATAAGGAAGGGCATTAAATCATTGCGGTGGTCATCCTGTACGCATTGCTCTGATCCATCAATGCTGAAAAGGGTTAGAGCATTTTTAAATGACTTGTCATCTAAAATTTTGCACAAACTTTCCTTATATGGTGTGAGATAGGGGTGATTATATGCCATTATGCAATCAAGGGCTAATTTCTGAAGTGCAGGTGATGGATGACTTAAGAATTCTTTATACATTTTTTCTAACTTCTTTGTCTGAAACAACATTCGTGGGTTGTGAAACTGTGAAAAAACTGTTAATTGTTCACAGAGTGATTTAATGGGTGCCCTTCTTGGAGTTGAATGATCTATTTTATTTTCTTCATAACTCTTCTCTACATTCTGATGAAAACTTGCATCTCTCAATGCAGAGTTACTAAGGTCTTCACTGGTGACTGCAGTGTTCGAAATGCTTCTGACACAAAGATTTTGTGTTGGAGCCACAGTAAAGTCTGCAGGGAATAGTTCCTCTTCAAGAAAATTAAAAAACAAAGGTACAAGATCCCTACTTTTTGCTTCACAGATATCAGGGAACTTTTTCATTGCTCTCCAGAGTAAGTCTCTGTAATTTAAATAATCTGGTTTCAGTGGTAAATTTTTAAAACCATGGTGAGTTGATACATTTTGAACAACATTAAGAAGGATCTCATTTTCAAAGAAAAGATCTTCCTGAGGGTCTACTGTCTTCCCTTGTAGTACCTGGCTGGTATTATAAGAAGCTATCTTTAGTCTTGAGAACCAGAGTGGCCAAAACATGTCAGTTTTTAGACTGTGGGCATAGCTTGATATTCCTTGTAGAACTGAATTCCAAACATCTTTATAATTAATATACAACTGTCCAAGCAACAATAATAGAGGAGCCTGATCAAACGTTCCACATATAGGACGATGGTACACTACGTGATCAGCATCAACCATAGACAAGTAGCGTAAGCGATCCTTGTAAGCCCAAGGTGTCACTTCCACACATTCTGCCTTCAGCATAATTTGGAACATGTTTTCAACAATTCCCATATTCTCTGGTGGTGGTGGTAAGGTAACTGGGAATAATGAAAATATATGAGTAACCAATAAACGAACTTGAGGGTTGGCCGAGCACAAAGCTGGTGCAAGAATATAATAAATATCCTTAAAAAATATTTCATTCATGATGTCAGAATCATTCTCTGAGGATGCAACAGTAAAATGCAAATCTATTGCCTTGAGGATATAGACATTCTCTCTATATTGTTGCTTTACCTTTAAAACTTCTAATATCTGATATTGGCTTAAGCTGGCCAGAAAATCTTCACCGGTTAATGTATGCAACATCACCTCGATCAAAGCTGCTACTAAAAACAAAATCTTCCTACTATTCAAATTGATGTTATATTTAATATTTAAGTCAATAGTAAGATTTGGAGCCTCAGTCTCTGATTTTCCTTTCTTTTTTGCAGCTACAGTTTTATCATCATCAATAACTTTCTCAGTCTTATCATTTAATATTTCAATCGCATCACTGAGAATCCAAGTAAGGTATGGAGTCACATCTTGGTAGTCCAGGGGTGACACATGTGGCAAACACAACAAGCACAACAGCAACTCTTCTAAATTTGATAGATCTTCCATTAGCCCTTTGCTTAACCTGTTTTCAATTAATGATGGAATGTCCTTCTCACAAACGCCCTTAACAGGTGAAAGTGTACGCGAGAAATCCAGCGGGTATTTTCTCCACGAGTCCAGATCCATTCCTGTGCTGCATGGTGGTTGCTTATGCTGCACAAGAAATGCAAGCATGGACAGCACTTCTTTGTCAATATCTTCCACTTCACTAGTTCTTACCAAATTGTTCAGGTAATGCAATACCAGTGGTAAGATCTCTGTGTCAAATCTTATATGATCAACTAGCTGCTTTATAGCATTGAATTTAACCACATGAGAGTAATGAGAACTTAAAAGTTCTGATACTACATCTTTAAGAGTTGAGCTAGTAATCTGATGATGAGATGACAGAAGCAAGATGCTAAAAATATTGAAAACAGTACCACCAACACTGTCTGGAAGAGAAATTTGAACCATAGTTTTGCACTGATTTAAGGCATCAGAAACATCAACCAGAAGTACACCATGTTTGTAACTCACTAAAACCTCTATCACTTGTAAGACAGCATGAAGATGATGCCAGGAGTTTCCAGGCAAATGCGCACTGGGAACCAATAATTGTATGCTTCTCCATAATGTAGGCCATACCATGGTAGCATCCTCCTGCCACAATGTCTGCCACTTGGTATGCTTATTTGGGTGTTGGGCTGTGATGTGACCAGCAACAATTTTAAGTGCATAGGCGATAGTTTCCAGGGCTGAACTCGTTGGTATGTCTTCATCTCCCAAAAGGTCAAGTAATGAAGATAATATCTGAGGAGTTACACTTTGTAAACGTTGGGCTACATCAGATTTTATTAATGCAGCAATAAGTCTTCCTAAACCTTGCACCTGACTTTCATCTTTCTTTAATTTCCTAAATGCTATGGCCAAAAAGCTGTTCCTTTTGGGAATTTTCCGTATGAGAAATGCGAGACTCTGGGCAGCAAGCTCATTGATATACCATGGATGTGCCTTTGAAAGTAAAGTTGCATACTGATGAACATGATATAATTCATAGAGGTCATCACGAAGATACTTTTGTAAAACTACAAATAATGATACAATACAGAGAAACACAGACTCTATCTGTTCAGGGTCCTTAGTTGAAAGTTGTGAAACCAGTCTTGGTAAAAATTCATAAAAGTGATGCTGGTAGAACTCTTGAGGAATGTCATTTGCAAAGGCTACCAAAAGGTCTAGAAGTGCCTGCAAAGCCAGAGAGTTTGGTGTGGCCAAATGGTCGGCCAGGCATTTAGCAACATGCTTTTCTTGATGAACCAGTTGAACTGTAGTCTGAATGTCTCCACCCAGGTCATTCTGAAATGCCTGTAAAAAATATATGGTTAGCTTTCTAGTACATGCACACTATAAAGTTAATTAAAAAATTCAACATACGTATGATTCAACTGCATATGAACAATCTAGACAGGTATCCCCGGGCCAGCACAGTTATCTTTAAGTAAGTAAGTACAGTTGGTGCTTACCTATCAATGACTACAGGAGGTGAGATCTATCTCTTTATGTCCCTCCTCCTAGCCATTTATACCTGGCATTCTAATTATCTATCTCAACATTAATGTTCTCATTATATATATTTTTAAGTTGTGGATGGAATTGGCTTCAACTACAGCACCAACTACTGCTTCAACTACAGCACCAGCACTTTGTTTCCTGTCATTCAAGTACTCCCATACCCAGTCCAATGCCTTTCCTGTTATCCCCACTTCTCTCACCATCTTGCGTATTAGTTTTTGTGAAGAACTGTATTAAAAGATTTTTTGCCAGTCTAGAAAGAAGCACTCTACCCATCCTTCCTCTTATTTTGTGGACGCTGTCATAGGATTCAGTCAAGTTTGTTAAGCATGATTTTCCCTCTTTGAAGTGATGTTGTGCCACATCAAATTTACTCTCTTAATCCTTTTTTTCTGATGTCTTTTTCTAGATTCTTGCATGGAATGCATGTTAATGACACAGTCTATAGTTTAGTATTTCATGTGTCCCCTTTCTTGAATACTGGAACTATATTTGCCTTTTTCCAGGTTTCCATTAGCAATCCCATCTCTAGTGTAATGCTGAACACTATAGTTAATGGGTAACACAAGATTCCTGCAGCTTCTTTCAGTAACCATGGTGATATATGGTCCATTCCTACTGCTTTTGTTACATCCAGTTCCTCCAGATGTCTTCTTACCTCTTCTATATTAACTTTAATTCTGTCAAGTGTTGTTTCTGGTTGTCTGCTTTCACCCTATTCTTCACCCATTTTTGCAGCTCTACCCCTTTATTTGCAATGTTATTGGCATTTGTGTACCAATTTTTTTATACCACTCATTTCTACTCGGCTGCTTAGTTTCTTCCCGGGGGGGGGGAGAACAAATTCTTACCTTTAGGCTAGTCCCATTCTGGAGGGTGGCATTTATGATTTTTATTCTTGTTCAAGAGTTTTGGTCACTCTCTTTTCCCTGATCTTTTTCCTCACCAGAGTGATTCTATGACTTATTGGTATACTTCAATCTTAATGTCTAAGGGTAAAGTTGCCAGTCTTTGGACACTTTAAAGCTTGGTCCACTCACATACCACCAAGCTTACATTCTACAAAACTGTTCATACATGCTGCCTGTACTGTAATACAGTAATAAAAGATGTACTCTCTACAGCATAATGTACCTGGAAAGCTTCGGTGAGATTGACTTCTCTGCATTTCAGAAGGGTTTGGAAAAAGATGGTGACACTCTCGCCATCTTCGGTTTGTGGACGCTGTAGAAGGAATTTCCTAGCACTAACTTTGAGATTTCTTACTTTCTCTCCAAACCCTCGGAAAGTAAAGGTGTTTGTAGATTTGTGGGCTTGTCGTTGGGGTTTTTCCTTCATTTTGGCTCTGAAAAAGAAACAGAAAAATTTAATGTCCTTCTTATATTTTGAAACCATTTTGCTATACAATATACACTTCAGACTTTTCAAATATTAATACAAGGTACAAACTTTTTGAGTGGTAAATACCTGTCACTAAACCTGTATAAAATATGAAATTAACACTTACAATATGCAGGTTGATTTTAAGAATACAGTACTGTACAGTACTGTAATACAAATGGATAGTCTGCCCTGCACAGAACACTGATACAGTAAGTATTAACACACGGCAAGCTGTTTAAGGCAGAATAATGAATATACTATAGTAATTTCTTGCCATTTACCAACAAAAAATACAATTTTATAGTTTTCTGTTTGGAAAATACCAAAGAAAGTGCAATATTTTCTAAAGCAAAACGTCCTCTGCAGACAGAATCAAGGTCCAGGAAGGGCTGAACTGATGCCAAACACAGCCTACAACATATACTTGGTTTTTAAACTTGAGTCAAAAGTGTGTTGTATGAACAAGCAAGTAAGCAATAGATGGGGTGAGAGTCGCTATGAAAAAATTTAAAGCAGTTGTATCCTTTTTCTCCGATAAGATATATTTCCTGTTATGCACTGACAATAACGAATATATCTCTGTCTTTTTGCTGACATATAATATTTTAGGCTTCATTAGCGTATCTTTGTTAATTACACAATATATCAGCCAGTGCCTAGGCTTCTGCACGCCATGATCGACAAGCTACTGGATGTGATTGTAAAACACATGTGTCTTCACTTGAGCTTTAAATATGTCAATGGTAAACTACTTAAAATAAGGCTTATATTTCTATCTTTCCTGAGACATATAAAACATTTACGTTTATTGACATATTTACATGAAATATAGATTGGTCTGAGAGAGTATTGCTCCATCAATCGATCTGTGCAGGGTCGGAGCTCAGCCATTATAAAAATATATGTATCTTCGCTAGTTTGAAATATGCTTTTGGTAAGGTATTTAAAATGCAGCTTATAGTTCTATCTTTCTTGTGACATATAAAACACTTAAGTTCATTAACACTTTCGCGCTTTAGATTAGAGATAACTCGTCGCCGTTTTTTCTTACGATTCCGCATAACAGCCTACTTTTCTCGTCCATCGAAAAAATATTTCTATAAATTCCATTTTTTAACCGAAATGGATGGGGATACTTTTGTTTTGTAGAGAATTTATTTGCGATTTTTTTGGTACCAGAATGAATATTATATCACATAAACTTCTATGAGTAAAAAAAAAAATACACAAAGTATGTTTGGGGGTGTGGCGAGCGTGTGGCAGTGGGTTCCCTTTAGCCGTTGATATATCCAACACGTGGGAAATATTTGTATGTGTTATGTATATGTCTGTGTAGGGAATTTTACTGCGATCACTGTCATACAAATTATAAAATGTTTCAACAAGTATAAACATGACAAACATCAAACAAACGAAAACAATGCGTTCGTTTCTGCCGCGAACGCATACTGAGCGACGTGGTTCTATATTTGGCGCTTCTCTTACACATGCTTTGTACAAATGTTATACAGTTCATCTTATAGAAAATTTTATTGTGAACACATTGGTATAAAAAAGAAATACGTACATAGAAAAGTAGGGTCAGGAAACGTATAAACTTTCCAAGCATGATTTCCCCCCTGTGTTTTCGCTAGTGCGCTCGCGGCTAACTACTCTCCACTTCACACACTCTTGCGGGTGGGCAATTACCTATATTAAACATTCATATGCATATGTCCGTGTAGAGAATTTTATTGCGATTCCAATGATACCAAAATTAGCGATGTAGGACAACTGTAGGCTTCGCAACCATTAAGAGAGTGGAAACATTTTGTTGCTGTTTGGCGCTCTCGGCGAGTGATCTGCATAGTTTTTTATTTGGTGTTGATACTCCTTATGCTTGGGCGGCATTTTATAGGTATGCTCTTATAGACAATTTCATTGCGAACACAGTGATACCAAATTTAAATATGTGCGCCTTCAATTATTGTCAGGACAGTCAAAAGAGTGTACACTTTTCGGTCTTACCGCGTAGGCGCGCGAAGTGCCGAAAGCATCTGGGGTATTTTTTTTTTTGAGCGCCGAGGCGCGAAAGTGTTAATGTATCTGCATGAAATAATTATTGTTTTGAGATAAATATTCTGAGTTCTTAGCCCAATTAGCGAAGAAAATTGCAACTTTAATACAACTACATATATCTTCAGTTTTACTTAAAATATTTTTTTGGGTAGAAGTTTTACATGTAGATTATGTTTCTGTCTTTCTCCCGATATATAAATAATTGTTGTTTACCAAGTTATCAAGATGTTTTCAACAATTTTCTTCGAGCGTTCATTTATTCCAACATGGTTGCATATTTATGGAATACGATACATGGGTTGACCCAACTGATACTTGGGTCAGATTCCAATATGGTGTCAGACAAATTCACTACAGCTCAGCCAAGAGTTAAGAGTAACCTGGCATCGACCTACCTGATTTACCACGCAGATTCTGCATCTAGCCTGGCAACACAGTCCACAGTGTCCTAATTACATCTCACCATACTATAGCCTATTACAAATATACTGTTGATTGCTAGTGTGTTTACTGTTCTTCTGTCAGGGTAGTCTTTATTATTCTTTCCTATAGCTCATGGTAGGCCTTATCCACTTGTTTTCACTGGAATACGACCTTCTGTGGGTATAGTCGAATTATCTACATTGCTGTTAACTTATAAAATGTGGGGAAAACCATTTTAACCATAAGAGGGAATATGGTCAAATCATACACAAGCATTTACACAATGCTTGCTTTTAACTGTCAAAACCATACACATAGGTTAGGATGCATTAGCTTGGGTTAGGCTGTGTTAGACTTGGCTAAGTTAGTTAGGTTAGTAGGTTTTAAATGACACTGGCAAACCCTCTTGTATTTGACGTGATTTGTATTTCACTTAAAAGTCGGTAAGCTTCTTCCCCCTCAACCTTGAGCATGAGCAAGTGTTCTCTCATCACTTGAAATTCCCCTTCTTAAATTATGGTCCTTTACCTCCCAATATACCTATAATACACAAAGGATTAAGCGATTGAATTAGGTAAACTCGGGTAAGGTGATTAAAATATAACCCACGAAAATGTTAGTTGTCTGGAGTTGCACGTCAGGTCAGGTTAGACTACTTACACTGGGCACGCAGTAAACCCTTGGCACTGGTCATGACCCAAGTCTCATACAACACGCGGGCAAGGCACAGCTCGATGATCAGTACAAGACAAAATATTAACCAAATACAACAAAGAAACGAGCACGTGTAGAAGCCTGAGTGAGGGAGCATCGGTATAAATGTTTGTTGTGGTGGGGCTACGGGCCCCAGCGACCACTCGTATAAATACTCTTATTTATTAATTTCTTTTAAACAAAATATATTTTATTTACTAGAATTTTGATGTGCACATTTAATACATGCATAATAGTACATTGGATAGCTACAAAATAATTAATATGAATAAAAATCATGGTTGGAAATATTCATTAATTTACCTACGGGCCACTCTAGTGGCCTCGACGAGGACAGTTAGCCAGCGGCTTGGCAATGGTCGTCTCCTTTGTCCTGATAATTTTATCTATTTAGATATTAAATTGCAGCAGGATAGGCGATTCCATGAGCATATAACCTATGAGTGAATTAAGGAAACATCTGTTTTCTGTTCTAAATTGTGGCTTGTTAAGCTTGAAACTTTTGCTCCTTGTTCTTATTACATCACATCTGACCTTTTGAAGTTGTCTAGATTAATATACCCTAGGTCGTTCAATATTTTAAAAGTTTTGATGATTTAGAGTGAATTGTAGATTTACATTGATGGGTACATGAAACTATAAAACTTAAGCACACGACTGACCTTTCCCCTTCCCCAGGATGCAACCTACATTTTAATCACTTATAACTACGTTCTGTAGAAAGACGCGACGATGCTGAGGGAGTGACGTCGAGAGGTCCTCTGATATGGGTGATGATGGGTTTGAGGCAGCTTCAGGTGGTTGAAGCCTGTTAGGTTTATCTAGGCCTCCAACTCCCCTATCCCAATGACTGACCTTTCCTAAAATACAACCCACAATAGTTGTCTAACTCCCAGATACTTCAATTGCTAGATTAGCAGAGGCATCAGGTGAAAACAAATGCCCAAACGTCTCCGTCCTACAGGATTTGAACCCGGGACCTTTCATTCGGTCTTGAACAGGGCTGTACTGTTCCTTAATTAAGCTAAGTAATTTACATTCGTGATGATCTAGTTGCAAAGATTCTTTCAATTTGCTTGAAATTTGAACTTGCTTAGGTGTATTTACAGTACTGTAGTTAATATAGCGTCATTTAGGTTAAGTAAGAAATTTGCAAGCTGTGCAAGCTTAAGTTATAGACATTGTGTGAACAATTAATGGGTAAATTTGGAATACTTGCATAGCTAGGATTTGGGGTAATGTTATTCTGGGACAAAAAATGCGTCTTAAACATGTCTTGAGTATTTTTCAGTTACATGTCGCTGATGTATATTTTAACAGTTTTGCCAACAAAGTTTACATTTAATCAGATACAAATTAGCAGATGGCGTAAACGTCACTATGTCGTTATAGTCAAGCCAAAGCCTAGCAGTAGTAACATCTAGAACAAGCAGTAATATGCTTAGTAGCTAGTATGATCAAAGATGTAAGTGCTAGTGTAGATTTGTCTCTAGATTATTAGGTTTTGTTTGGAGCTCTGTATATTACTGCCCTCAGACTGATTAGGAAACATATTCAATGATCAGTTAAAATATATAACAAGTTGTAGAAATATACAAAATATACTTAGAATTGTTTTATTTGTAAAATGTCACTGGGATGAATGCTATTTTGTGGTATTTTTTGTAAAAATGCACTGTATATATTGTATACATGCATTCATACAGAAAAAAGTAAAGAATTGGTAAAAATAAATATTCACTTTGACTTTGCTAAAACAGCATATGCTAACCAAATTAACTTACTTCACAAATTAAAGGACATAGCCTATCATAATTATTTTTAGACAAGCCCCAAGGACACAGTAACGTCCTGTTTCAGGTGTAGCACGACGGAGGACGGAGTGCTCAAAGGCAGAACTTTTGGCCCCACGTAGTCCAGGGTTATACTAGACTCCTTCAAGCGCATATGCTTTGGCTAACTCCAACATTTCTGTCATGTATCTACAGGCCAATGGCACAGAATCCAGTACACAGACTGTGATGCCATCATTATTTATTTTATTTCTGTACTTTGCTTCAGTCACAAGCATGTTACAGTGTTCTTAAGATATTTAATGTAAACAGGGATGAGTTACAAATAATGTAAAATTTGGATCTATATACAGTACTGTATACAATATAATGACAACATACTGGAGCAAAGATAGGAAATAAGAAATTTTTATTTTCAAACAATGCACCTTTTCCTTTATTTTTCTTCAGCTTAATCCATTTTCCATTAAGTACATCCATTGCACTTTAATCCATTTTCTTGCTAGTCTACTCATTCTTACATATTTGATTTTTAGTTTCTCATTCTTCTTGAGAAACTACACATGACTTGCACCAATACAATTGTGCCTGTAACTCTAAATAGTTTTTTGATGCTTCCTGAACAAGACATTGTCACAATCACTCTAACATCTAATTGCCTACACAGAACTGAGTACACATTCGTTCATGTATTGCATTTAATAAGTGTTGGCTCCTAGTTTCGAACCTAATCATAGCCCAATAAGATCATGTAGATATTCCTGAATGAAAACATAATAAATATATTATGACTGGAGACCTACAGCTGGAAATACTGTACAACTCAAACTTAAGGTGTATAGTGAATATTAAAATAATAATGATACAATTATTATATTAACGATATAAGAGCACTCTACTAATTTAATTTATTTTTGGAAAAATTACATTCAGTATTGAATAAACCACTTTATTTTCATAAACTATTAAATATATAAAATGTTTGAAAAACACTAAATATTACTTTACATGGTATATGCCATTATGTGCCATGTAGTATTAAGAAATCTTCACACAAAACTAAACTACCTTCACTACCATTCTTTTTCAACACAATACCTAGTTAGTATAAAAGTATTTAAATTAGATACAGTATATTCAATTACCCCAAATTATGAATTTCAAGGAAATACCTTTCAAATATTCTAATAAATCTTATTTTAATTTTTTTTAATTTTCTAAACTATTTCAGCGAGAAACCTATTTCCTTACATTGTTAGTATTACTGTACATGGTATTGTATAGAAAGTTCAATATTGCATTCATACAACATTGCAACAAAATATTACTATTTAATGATAAGCCTTGTTTATTCCAGTGTCTGAATACTGTTTGTTTCTGCCACAAAATATACTTATTGATACTTAAATGGCTTTTGCAGTTCCATGAAATTGACATCTATTTCTTGTACTGTAATTTCAATATTAAGATTAATATGAATATTTTACTAAACATTATAGACTACAGATATAAAATGTAAAAATATTTTTTTTTTAGTACAGTAGAAAAAAATTCAGTCTCCTTGATTTAAATCATAATACACTACTGTAAATATTTTTGGCAATGAGAAATATTCACAATATGCAAAGCCAAAAATTAAATGAGAACTAAAAAAATTAGCCCCTTTATGATACATAATCCAGGTTGGTTAAGTAATGTCCAAAGACAAAATGCTCTTTAAAAATACAACCAACAGCATCAGCACTACATATTTCTTAACATAAAAACTGACAAGGAAAATAGAATATATTGTACTGTAGAAACAAAATATATAAAATGGTTAAAAATACACGAGTAAATGATTACTATTAGGGGGTGCCATAGGCACAGAGAACACTGTATAAACATCAGAGATTCTCTGTTGTTCACCATACTCCCAGCGAGTGTAAGAAATATTTCAGGAACAACTATAGACATTTTCAAGAGAAAATTAGATAGTTTTCTTCAAGAAGTGCCGGACTAATCAGGCTCTAGTGGATACGTTGGCCTGTTGGACCAATCTCTCAGAACCCCATCAAGCAGATAAACTATGGTTAAAGATGCACCGCAGTTCTTCTATTAATATGTGCACACCAGTGGAAGGCTTTCTAATTCTTCAAACTAAACATTTAAGCAAATCTTTATATGAGGTGCAATGAAAATTTTCTCACCCTATAATAATCAATAATCAAGCACACACCTGAGGAAGGCAGTGGTGCTGTGCTAGTGAACTTCTGCAGTTGTTGCTTCCTTATTCCTACAAGAGAGAGTTCCTCCTCCGCAACCCTTCCCTCCTACTTGCGCATACTGAATTTGTAATGACACTTTCACTCATCAATTTTCAATCTGCAACATCTGTGTGTTGAAGCAGTATCCCAACCAATGAAGTCGATCCAAAATTTTGTTAGTGCTAGTTAAAAGCCCCAGCATGAGCAGTGATGCTGGTAAACACCAGAGAACATTAAATAAAACATTATAGGGCCTTTACAACGAAACAACTATATGTTGAATTTACATAATTTTTTCGTAAGTATTGTCACGAGTACACTATATTGAAAATGTCTTACTGTACTAGATTACTAGCTTTACATTAATATTTTATTTACATACTATACTGTAGTTAATCCCTTTTATTTAAGATTAATGGTTGTATTTTCGAGTGATAGCTCAACACACTGAGGCTTAAAATTTTATCAGTTTTTTTTTTTATAGAATAAAATCCATCCAATATCAGTGGCATGTACACACATTATAACCTTTAAATATTTATCATGGGAAAACAGATAGCACTTCACTTACATGTCACAGTATGGTGTAGGCATTAAATACTCCATGACAGCCTCACTCAACAGTAATTGCCTTTTGTGTATCCTGCATTTTACCATCATTGTAACCAATCAATGACAATCACACTGAGCAATATTTTGATTATCTTTGTACAACTTAAAAGAATAATTTCAGCCTTTTACCCTGGAAAAGTAAAAAATACAATGGAAAAGAAAATATCATTTCTTGCCCTATAGACAAAAAGTTTATTCCAAAATATATAACATGTCACAAATCCATTAACATGCCTTTTACAGTTGTTTGTATTTGATGAATTTTGTCCTTTTATGCAGAACTAAAACCCTTGCTTTTAATAAAATGTTCACATGAAATGTTACTGGGCATTTTGTATTAGCTGGCTCCGTGACCAGCTAATACTAATTAAAACAAAAAATCTAGCCCTCTGCATTGACAAGCTCCGGAAAGACACCACAGATCTCTTAGAACATCAATACAAAAAATACTTTAACACTATTCAATGTAGTTCATGATCACCTGATGATCCGTTATTATAATCAAGTACTGTACTGTAATATTGATATTTAAATCTAGTTTCAGTACAGAGTTAAAAAAAATAATCTAAAAAATAATTAACTATATTTTACATTTCTTCAATAAATAAAAGCTTAAATTTTCACAAATGAAACAAAAATACACATCCGTGGGAACTATATAAATTTGGCAAATAACACTTGTGTACTATAACAGACAATAGAGAATGTGCATAAACAGTAATATTAAACAAACCTAAAAATGCCACTCTCAAAACAGGGCAATATTTGCATAAAAAGTGCAAGAATTTGAGCAGTTATTGATCAGTGTGGAGTATTATATGCACTAATATATTTAACAGTGTTCTCCAGAGACCCCTCATACTTTTCTTTCACACAACAAATTAAATATCTGACCAAAGCCCACTCAGTCATCATGAGGAAAAATGTCATGAACAGATGTTCAAGAACTCTGTTAATACTAATTCATTTCCTTTAGAAAATATTAATGTACAGACAGGTATATATACCTGTCTGTCTATTTTATATATTTTCAAAAAACATACTAATTTACAATAACATTATACCAATACTTAAATATTGAGCTTTGGGTTAATGCAAGCACTTTGCTTTATATTATTTACATACCTACCATTACCTGATAAAAAATTGTTTTTCTTTACCAAATCATCCAGATATTTATTTTGTCTGGGGATATTTCATTCAACACCTCTGAAAGATGTTCTAAAACCATTGTACATAAATTACACATTTCCAAAAAACATTAAAAGAAAATTAGAACACGACTAGGAATACTAATAAATTTGAAATACTATTTTCTACCTAATCAGCCTTTCTCTATCATATCTCTGCATTTAGCATAATCATCGGTACAATGATTTATCCAGGAAAACCAAACAAGTATGCAGCAAGTGGTACACACTCCACTCATTTTATGTGGTATACATTAATTGGGGGTGAAACTGAACAATCCAAAATAGCATTTGCCACTGAATATTCTATACAATGATAAAGGCAGGAGTAAGAAAGTCCATTATCATTCTGTATGCTGTGAGGATGCAAGTCCTCAAAGGCAAGGATGAATATTGTACAGTACAGCATGGCCAACGAACGTGCGTCGCCAATGTAAGTCGTCTGTGACGAAAGGAGGGAAAGACAACTGGGTTGGACATTGTGAAGATAAAAGGTCTATTTAGTCCAAGTTACAAAAACATGAACCTGACCATTTAATTATTTAATATCAAAATTTACAAATTTCTATAGCATAATTTTGAGATCATTCGAGCAAATATTCATGTACAAATGTGCTCAGCAATATACGTGCATCAACAACCGAAGATAAATCCAATCAAAAAGAGTTTTGGTAGTGTTGCATAATACACAAATTCTATAAAAATGTTGTCTACAAATTTCACGTGACCTCAATCAAGGGGACATTAAAAAATCCTTTCCCAAAAAAATTCTAATACTGTATACTTAAAAAAAAAATTATAAAAATTATGACTCAAATAGTTAATGAAAATTGTGTATTATGCTATTAGACTATGCAGTGTCCAATATAATTAATATCAATATGGGAAAGCATCCATGGTTTTATACAAAAACTATTGGCAAATTACTGTTATTAAATATTGAAAGACATTTTACCTTGAGTACACTAATAGTCATTAACTCAAAAAGAGGAGTTACAATATTGTTTATGAATTACATAACTTTAATTTAAATACATACTGTACTTTAACGTTACTGATCCATGTCCAGTGCTCAAGATAACAGAGAACGACATGAAGAACATAATCAGGCTCCTCTATATTCCAATATTCAATCAATGTTGACCACTTTAACTCTTGCTATCAGAGAAGCGAGAAAGTAATACTGTACTGTAAATTGAAACAAGTGAAAAATCAGATTAAATATTTACAGATTGATATATAATCGGTTTTGCCAATATTATATGCAACTTGTCGACAAAGGTCAGGACATTTGCGCTACACAAAGTTAAGTTAGCAGACTTTGATAGAAGGTCCCAAAGTGAAATTGCATTATGGAAGAAATGGAGTAATAAACACCAGGTAAACATGGTTTACATTGATTATGGTTTGTAAAAGTTATTTCTCCAATTCAAACAGCAGACAATGGATTTAATTTGGACAAAGATTACAGAGTATTAGTTGGTCTAGTTATAACTCGACATTTACTCCAATGTAGCTGAAGCATCTCTTTGAGGGACACTTGGCTCAGTTGCTGGTTCCGTATGTGGTACGTCCTTTTCAACAGTCGCTTCCTCGCCTACAGCTGCTTCAAGAGCCTGACGGGCTAATTGTTCCACAGCTTTGAATGGACTCTCACTGTCGTTAATCTGAAAATACAAGTGTCTATATAAAATATGTACTAACTGTACATATTTTAGTACATTAACTGTAGTTAATGTACTAACTACATATTTGCTCCATCACATTAGGATGATTAGGATTGTCACACCAAATAACTGAACAATTACTCCAGGACTGTTCTGGATTTATGCAATATATCCATAGAACTGGTATCAATAGGCTATACAAAAAGACCTATTTTAGATAAAAGTACAGTACCCCTATCCTGAAATGTCATGTTCATAAGGAACCTACTGTTGACAAAACAGTTATAAAATCAAAGATAGCCCGAGCATTACCAGCCTTCAAAATCCTCTCAACAAAATGGAAAGCCTAGTTCATGTGTGAATCACAAATATTTTCTTGTTTACAAGTTCAAAGTTTACACTAGAAAAGAAGGTACAGCTACTGATATAACTTTTTATCCTAAGAGAATTCTAAGCAAGGTTTAACATTACGAAAATAAGGGCCATATTGTGTAATGAACCATTATAATTCCAGTATTTACCTACATGATATGCTAAGGTAGGTTAACGTAAGTCATGAATAACCAAGAGTAAAAAAGGTCTGCCTGCTTACAGAGATAAAAACGAAACCAAGGGCAAACTGCCAATGGATGAACAGCTAGATGAAGAGGAAAACATTGTCTTGTACCCAGCAAGACATGTGAAGTCAATATGTACACTGTCAACAGCAGAGGACAGAAAGACACAAAGCAGACATCAAATCAAAGCAAGAAAAAGGCTGTCAACAAATGAACTGTACACGTAAATTCTAAGTTTATTTTTGTGGTGTTAATAGGCTGGTACAATTATGTTCTGTATACCCTTTCAAGATGAAATTAACTGAATGGCACAAGACAATTTGGCAATTCATTCAAATAGCATTGGTACTCATGTTAAATATAAGATATTTTAGAGAACTGGTGACTGAAGGTTCCTTTAGACCCTAGTATAAAACAAAGTATGTTCGATAATACCAGTACCATGTGTACTCAAAAAGAAAGACAAGTGCTGGAGGAAGCTAACACCACATGTATATACCACTGGAAGAAATGCCCTTACAAACAACAAATGTAACTCCTTGCTTTGAAATAAATTACAAGAGAAATAAGGAAACTTTAAAGAACATAAAACTTCGAGATTATGTTAAACTCAGGAATTTCTTAAAATTTCATCTGGCAAGAAATAGAAGCAGCTAAATTTTATTAAAAGGACATTGCTTCTTGGCAGTTTGAGTTATCATGGATCTTTTAGAATTTAATGGAATGAAATTTAGGCTTATGGCCAAGTACTTGAAACGGAAGTAATTATCAAAATAAGGCACCAAGCCGAGAAGGCTACATAGCACCATCACTTGAAACAAAAGTTGAAGATTACTCACAGCCAGGATTATTTGGAGGCTGTTCTGTTCTTTAAATGTTTGTGACATAGAAAATGGTGTCTATTCTCAGTGTTGAATTGAGATAGCCTTGCCAGAGATCCCTGTCCTCGGTTATAATGGAACAATTTGCAAGGAGACTTGTTCTACTGGGGCTAAAAGCCTCTTGGAGCCTGGTAAATTAGCAGTGCCCAGTATGGATCTAGTACTAAGGAACAGGAGCAGCTACCAAGATGTTGCTCAGAAAAATCTGCAGTACTATGAAAACATGGCTTATACTGGGGGTACAATGCCCATTAACAAAGTACATTTTATGAACATGCACGTGTTATTTGTTTATAGCCAATAATGAGGCAATCTCAAGATACTACACATAACCAACAAAAATAGTTGTATGGAGCTGCATTGCTCAATTTCAATAGCAGCCATACCGTTTTTTATACAAGTGAAGTACTGTATTTAAAATCTTAATTGAATAGGATAAGGGGTTTGAAAAATTGATTAGAAATCTGTCAAAAGAAAAAACAAAAATACAACAGCCATAAACTATACCTACTGGGATACCTAAATAAGTAATATCTTGTCGTTCTTAACCCTGTGTGGAAAAGAATGTCGGCTCAACCTCTTAAACAATGCACAGATCAGATTACGTACCTGATAAAAGTAGAGGGCAACTGCAATGATGAGAATGACGATGAATAATTTAAGGAGGAAACGTAGCAACATTGATTTTTTGCTGGAGCTGTCACTGGTACCAGTACTCCTTTTTGTACTGTCACCTGCAGTTCTTGTTGCAAAGCCTTCAGTAAGATAACCACTGCAAAATAAATGTTTTATTTATTTAAAACTATTCTAGATGAATAAGTATCTAGACCTCCCCAAAAATCTTGACAACTCAAGGATTACCACTTGGCATTCACACAAAATTTATCTTCTTCAGGCAACTTCACATTAGGACTGAACTACCCAGCAAACCATCCAAGCCAAGGCAGTAAGTAGCTATAGGTTAACTGTAATTTTATTTTCAAAGTTCTGATACTCACAAGTCCAGCCTCAGGGCAGATTTGTCACACACTTTCTGCAGGCATTAGTAAAATAGCCTCTGTAAATTATCCAATTTTGTTCTGGAAATATTTCTTATATTTTGGTGGTAGAGGTTCTATGTCATGGGGAATCAACTTTGTGGTATAACTCCAAAATGAGAAGGCCATTAATAAATTTTGCATATTACACAACATAATTGACATAAATGATAATAGTCTAAGATGGACCTAATCAATTCCTATATTTCCAGATTTGTCAGTTGAGTGTTTAATTTTCAGTCACATTGTGAAATTGTTTGCATATTTTTTCATCTTGATATAAAGTAGTGTGAACTCTTGTGGAATAATGTGAACACGAGGATGACCGCAAAAGGAAAAACCAGACGCATATTTGCCAATTGATTGACAACACTCGAATTGTATATAACGTACATTTACGGTACGTTATTTACTACTACCGACATTGCAAAACCACATACAGTACTATACATATTTTTTAATTCTTGTATAATTATAAACTTGTGTGGATTGGCTGACTATGTGTATTAAAAGTAATGGAAATGAGGAATGTGGTGTGAAGGACAGGTAGTGGCAAGAGGCTGGTGCCACTCAAACACTTAACACTTATCCAACTGACAAGTATTTGTAAATTTTTAGATTTCCTACATTATTAAACACTGCACATTTTCCTCTTTCCTTTTATTTAGGGTGAGAGCTTGGATATGTGTAATTCATAGTGATTCCAATATAAACATAACATGGCTGGCAGCCATTTTCAGTGGCATGAGGAAGCCCATGATACACAGGTTTTAAAATTTAATGAAAAGATTTTTCACTTTATTTTAATGCAGTACTTTCTCCATTTTTATTTATTTTAGTATAGCACAAGACAGTTTGAACTGGTTTACAGTACTGTATTTCGATTAGTTTGTTATTCTTTCTTTTCTAATACAAGTGCATAATAGCGCTAACACCATCCAATCATACAAGGAACCACTATTTCCTGCGTATCCAGATACACTAGAAACACTGATAAATTCTTTCTAGTAATTTTGAGAAATTACATTAATAAGGATCCAGAAAAGTTCACACTCAACATATAGTATATACAATATAGATAAAGCAAAAATATAATCACACATACAAACATGTAATACCAATTACCGAGGTTTACTGTATTTAAATGGTGCATACAAAGTAAAAACCCACCTTCTGCCATTATTGACAAATTTTCGCACCGAATAACTCTCTGAAGAAGAAGAAGTAACAGTGCGAATTGATCGACGTGGTGATGGGGTATGTCGATCAGGGTCATAGAGAACACTGGATTGGTTGCCTTCAGAACCTAAAAAAATTGAATTATATGACAACAGTAATAAAATTAACCAAATTAAAGTAACATAGTCTATTTAAAATTATTGTTATTTTAGTGATTCACTGTAATAATTTTACTTTGGAAATAGTTTACGCAAAATATATTTAACAGGACGGTACTATGCGGATATTCAGCACCATGGAATAAATTACATGGTAACACGCATACTAAGCCTCTGACCTACCCTCATCAATGTTGACCAGACCACACACTAGAAAGTGAAGGGACGACGACATTTTGGTCAGTCCTGGACCATTCTCAAGTCAATTGAGAATCAATCAACATCAATGTTTCAAGTCAAACTTGATTCATATACTGTACAGCAACACTACTGGTTGGAGGCACTTATTCTCTCATATTTATAATTAAGTCAATTCTATTTTATTGATATTAATTTACCATTTACAGAAAGAAAAATGTTTTAGAGCCCATATAATATGAATAGCATTAGACAGCTTTACCACCAACCACTTGTTTGATAGAGTACAGTATTAGCAATTGATACAGTATCTTCACATGGTTAGAAAACAAATGCCAGTTAATTGAATAGGGGTCTTGTAAGGATGGATGTCAGTGTGTTACAGATATCACTCCACACAGTGATTATAGTATTTAACTAAAAATTTTATCACCTAAATGTAAGGGGCATAACTAACCAAGCTCTTTTGGTGTTCAAACGGGAACTTGACAAACATTTCTAAAGGCTACCCGATAACTGGGCATATCATCCGTAAGGCTGCAAGCATCATTCTGGCTGGTTAACTAGACCACCAACAAGGAGATCTAGCCAGAGAATAGGCCTCCTGAGACCTAGGCAGGCACAAAAGCATGAATGGCAATCCATTTTGCCATTAGTGGAGTAATAGATCCAGAGTTCAATCTTCCTATCTTTTATCAGTTATCTGCACCATGAGCAAAAGTTACCTTGCCATGGTTCTGAGGCCTGGTCAGAGACCAGGCCTCCTGGTTGGTGGTCTGGTCTGCTTTAATCAAATGCTACACAGTACAGTACCTGTCAAACAAAACTAAATAAAATGGGAAAATAAATAGCACACAATAAAGTTAACCAATATTATACTACTTACTTGGAGACACAAGCAGACGTTTACGAATATCTGTATGGTCTGAAGGGGAGGCTGAAGTTGTAGTTATTTTTGTTGACTCCTGAACAAAAGAGGTGCGTTTTGCCACTGGTTTTTCTACTACCACCTCTGAAAGACAAAAACTTCACATGTGTGCTTCACCCAACATTTGGCAAGTTATCAACCAACTCATTCATCTGATAATTCAAGTAAGTCTGAAGATATGGACATATCCATATGCTGTTCACACACACACACACACACACTGCTGAATCAGTTATTTGAGTGCACTAAAAATATATTATACCCTTTAATAGAATTAAGATTGATTTTTGGATTTAAAAATATTCACCTTCTTCACTACCCGAGTATTCGTCTTCATCAACTTCACCATTGAATGCAGGAGCGTCTGGCACGTAACCCCCCATCATGACAAACAACTTTTTTTGGTACACACTTCTAGTTGAATCTGTAAAATAACCAAAATTTTATTTGTAACTGAATTCTAGGAATGGTCCATCAAAAAAATTATCTAAATGCATAAAGAACAGTAGAAAATTTATGCCAGTGACATTAAATACAGCTTCTTAGTGAATAGAGACCAAAGGTATACTGTACTATCCCACTGCTTATACAGTACTGTACTTTGCCATAAAGCTCGAGTCAACGTTAAACAAAATTTAACGATTAACCGTTTCAAGACGGTACCTTGAACATGAGCCTATCCCATCACAGAATATCTGTATATTCAGTAAAAAATGAAACTATTTTCTGATGGCAAGATGCCGGCTGGGTAATTTCCAGAATGTCTAATACCCAGTACAGTACAGACCAAACAGTATAAAGTACTGTACATTAGGAGAATGGAGTGAATGAGGTCTTACACTCATTAACATCAAGAACAGAACATGTGCCAAGATGAGTGATATACAACTGCCTATCAACACAAAACACATGGTATGAGAATAGCTGTAAACACATCGGCGAATGTATTTGACACTGGCCCAGTTAAGTGCGGCAACTGTCACATGACAGGAGACGAGGTAGAGATGTCCTGGAATTGAAGGACATCAATTCCAAATTATTTGTGGCCTCCCACTGGGCTTCTGGAACAGTATTCAAATACAGTACTCGCAAAACATAAATCACATTCAGATAACCACATTATATTAGACAATCAACACACGATAATGACTGGACTTTGAGGTCAAGCAATCTCGATGTAACAGCTTCATGAATTAAGTTACCACCAGAAAACCCTAGCCATTCTATTAATTCTATGCATTTTATTAATAAAAATTTTTAAACAGAGAAGAGCAACAATTCAAACAATCATCCACCCTGAGGGAATAGCACAAATACCAACCAAATGAATTTATCATAGACTGCAATAAAGTTATTTTCTCAAATATATATTATATAAGGCAGGCTTATGAGTTGCTAGGTCTAGTGAAGGTGCTATATTATGTTGATTTGGGAGTGTTTACTAAACAGGCTGGAACCACATCTATAAGTTTCAAGTCATAGCTTCAAAGTTAGTGACAAATATATAAAATTCTGTATTCACTATTGCCATCAGGGATATCCCAAACTGGACTATATTTTGTATATACAGTACTGTAATGTACATACATTATTATAAACTCAATAAACCGTCATTTTAATTTACAAAATAAATAAATGCAAAGACGAGTTAATAAAGGAATAGTTTTTGCGTTTCTTTTCTTTTAAAATGTGTCTAATGGGAAAATAAAGCACTTGACAATAAAATATGAAACTAAGTCTCACCAACAATTGGTCCAACAACAGCTCCAAGATCTTTGAGTCTTGAGAACAGTTCATCATCATCAAGCTTTGTTATGTCAAAGCCATCAATCATCAGACTTGTTTCCAAAGACGACTGCAAAAGTAAAAAAAAGAAAACCAATTTAAATTATATTACTGTTCATACATACAGTTCAGTTCATGCATTATCAAGTTGCTCATTTTAAATGGGTTGAGGGAAGTTTCAGCCCAGAGAAAAAAAAGATAAATATGGTACAGTATAAGTGTATAACAAAACTTTATAGATAAATAATAAAAATCACACACCACAAACAATCTCAATATGCCAGCAGTCATATACAGCAGCACCCACTATTATACTTCACCCTGGTTCTGTGCAGTATTAATTATTGCATACAATACTGTACAGTACACAATGTACAAACATATTCACTCCATATAAATCACTCACCCAATCCTGGTCCCTCATCTTATCCCATGCACTGATACATGGGTCTAACTACTGACCCTCCCCAGGATGCAACCCCACAATAGCTATCTATTTACTGCTATGTAAACAGAAACATTAGGCGAGAAAACATGGCCAACCATTTCTGTCATGGTTGGGAATTAAACCTTGCTTGTAGAGAACAAAGCCAACGGTAAAGTCCTGCAATATATTTTTTCTAATTTGCTTATGACAACATTAATGTTTAAAAAGCTAAGGTACTGTACTTGCAAAACAATTTTTGGGGGGATGGGGAGAAGGGGTGTGAAATAGTTAAGTAATTATCAAAACAAGGCACCAAGAAGACGAGACTACTGTATACAGAAAGTGATTGGAAGACGAGCACAGGTGCCACAGAAAGAGTCTACCATGACTGGAAAAATGCCTTGGGTATAACTCGGCACCTCAAAAGTATCGCAGAAGTGTAGACATTCTTTTTTCACCAGTTATTTCATGAATAAATTCTTGTAGAAAATACATACAAAATGTAAAATAATATTTTTACATCAAGACCATAAATGTTACACATTCACAACATGGTTCAGATACCAGTGTCATATCCAAATGCACACTATCTGTATATAGTGACCTGCATTTGTCAGAGTAAACAGAACTGATAACCCAACCTACACATATGAATGGAAAGTGAAGATGTTTCAGTCCATCCTGGATACTTATCCCAGTGTAGCAAAAAATAGAATTCAAAGTCATTGAGTAGAGTTCTCAGCAGTTTTATCAAAGAGCCCAGAATGCAATGCAATTACGGTATATCACATCTTGCACTGAGCAGATATAAAAAATACATTTTTATAGCTTGTAAGACAATTGGTTTAAGAGTAACCCTACTCATTCTTCAGGTAGGGTATAGCATAAATAATGAAACTATTCAACATCCAAATAGTACAATGCTCCATAGTCACTAAATTAGCCTTGGTGAACTTACAACAGGAGCTACGAGAACTGATCAACAAACCCTTTAATTATGGTCAGTACAGCATTTAGAATTATGACAATGTCGGACTACTGTACCTCCGGTGCGAGGTTGACGAATAATTCCCATTGTTTGCTTATCAAGGTCCCCCTAGGCCATCTACTGACCTTCCCCATAATGCCACAACAGTTACCAAACTCCTAGGTACCTATTAACAGCTAGGTGAACAGAGGCATTAGGTGTAAGGTTCCCCCTGAATCAAATACTGTACTGACTTTCCCCAATTTAACCCCTACAATACTTCTCTAGCCATTGATAAACACCATTAAGGTAATTAATGAGCCAAGGACTGTATCTTGTAGTTAAGGGTAGAAAGTTTAGTCACATAATTTAGGGTCCTGGTCATACAATCGGATTCATTCTTGACCCACAATCGAGAATTCCGGGTTCGACTCCTGGGCAAGACAAATGGTTGGGCGCATTTCCTATCACCTAATGCCTCCGTCTACCTAACAGTTGATAAGTACGCAAGTGTTAGTTAGCTTGTGGGGTTGCATCCTGTGCAGGGTTAGTAATTTGACCCTGGGGTCAACCTCAATGTAAGGGGGGGCAGCCTAACAATGACTATGTATATACTGGCTCTATGCCCCTAACACAATGAATTATCACTATAATGGGTTCAGGTGCTGGCCCCTATTAATCTTTAAGCCTAATCACTTTCATTTATGATCTAGTTCCATTTTTTTCCATTTAGTATATGTTCAAACCCCAGACCGCCAGCCGGGGCACGATGTACACAACAGGTTAACTTACACCTTAATATTTAAAAATCTGACTAAAGAAGCAGTAAGTCAATTGTGCAGAAATATTTTGTTCGCTGCTATTTGTTTTTATTCTGGAGAAGTATATACTGAGCATTACTCATTACCTCCGTTGTGAGGTGTGAGGGGCGGGGGGAAGGTGTGGGGTGGGGCGGGTCCTGCCTCATCCCACATGCTCACACTAACACCCATTATTCCCCCTCCCGGCTCACTGGGGCCTCCCCGCCACCAGCAACACCAACGCCTGGGTAGATGAGTGACATACCATGGTGTGAGGTGTGAGGGTCAGGTGAGAGGTGTGAGGTGTGAGGAGAGGTAGTGACGGCGTCCACCACAAGACTGAGGAGCGGCTGACTCACACCAACGGCCACCACCACCTCACCAGGCAACCTTCCCGCGCAAACCTTCACTCTCCTCTACTACACTCTTCACCTTCACCTCTCACCTCTACTCCTTACACCTCACTACCCTCACCCACTCCTCTTACATTATGGCTAACCTCATATTTTAAGTCGTTAATAGGCAAATCTTCATCATCTGAGGAAAAATCCCCCTTAGAATATTCAACTGGAGCAACATATTTTTCATAAAGTCGTTTGTATTCATGTTTTTTAGCGTTCGGTGACGGCAAGGGGACTCCGTGGGTTATTAGTTCACTTTTTAATTGTTCCTTGGTCAATTCAGACATGATTTGGGTTATAATAGTTTAGAGAGCGGTGGACTAAAGCCCCCACACCATGCACTTGCTATCAGCACTGTCCAAAGTTACTTTCAGTACGCTAGTACGGTGGCCCCCAGGAGGACAAAATAAGCGTAGAGATGATTGGTTGTAGAGTGAAGGTGGAGGCGGGCCAGCTACTGGCCCACCAACAGTAACCTCGCTCTCAACACTCTTATCCCCGCCCTCAACTCCTCTCTCCCCCATCAACCGCCACATTTAACACTGCCACGCACGTGTTACATCTTCAATCTCCACGCGAAAGATCTTCTAGCTCTAGTAAATGTGTCTGTGACACATTGTGAGGCAAGAGTGAACCTTATCCCCTCTAAGGGTCTCGCAGTCATGCAGAAAAAGCTTCCTATTATAAGACTATACATTAAGCCTCAGGACTGGTGTGTGTGCACTCTTCACTTACGTGTGTAGCAACAAAAAATTATAAGTTATTGTGGGATGTATGGTATCTGGCAGGTGGACCATAGGCTCTCTGGGGTATTATTAGAGCAGTGTGCATGGGTCACCACAGACAATCAAGTTGGGAGAGTTACCTCCTCTACTGCAGGAGGTACTATAGAGCTACTGTATACCTAAGGACCATCGCACATATATTGACGTAATTACAAGTTGGTACTATTGAAGACCAAACCACACATCAGAAGATGGAGAAACGACGACGTTTCGGACCATTATCAAGTCTTATGTGTGTGACTTACGTTAAGGTTACCTTGAGATGATTTCGGGGCTCAGCGACCCCGCGGCCCGGTCGTCGACCAAGCCTCGTTTTGCAGAGACGAACCAAAACGTCGTCGTTTCTTCATCTTCTGATGTGTGGTTTGGTCATCATATCTTCAGCCACAGTATTGTGACTCATCGTCTGCATCGGTACTATTGAATTTGGACAAACCGGAAAAGAATAAAAGTAATAGAACACCAGAAATACATATCTCTTTGATATCCTCAGAATCAAACTAAATATGTGCAAACACTCCATGCAAATAGAAGGACCCATTCTTTGGAACTCTCTCTCTGACGAATTAAAAAATTGTCCAACTTATGCCCTATTAAAAAATAAAACCAAAAAGTACCTAATTTCATCCTCATAGTTTCCTACTTAGTGATTCAACTCACACTATTTTGTACTAACTACTTCCTCAATATTAGTACTTAAGTAACAACTTTTATCTCATATTTTTAATTATCATAGTAATGAAAATATTCATATTTTGCATGTATAAGAGATGAAACAGACTGCCATAAGCTAGATCGGTGTATTAAACGCTCTTGATGACGTCAATAAGGAGGCGGGGCTTTTAACATATACATTCCTGTGATTGGTTGCTGCAGGGAATGCCAACACTCTTTTTATGAATGAAATGCAAACTAAGAAATACGTTCTTTTGCACAAAAACCTCTTTGTTTTGTACTTGACAGAAATTTCTGTCTGACTGAACAATTTAGTCCAATAAGAAGGCGGACATCGTATCATCGATTTATTTGTTTGAGACAACCCCCCACTGATGACGTCACAAGTTAGGTAGACAGGCCACTTTTCAATACCACTTATATTCTGCAAAATTTAATTATCAATTTACTAACACTTTTAAATAATTGACGCTTCACTTTTTTGGTAGATTAAAGTTGAAGTAGAATGTCATAAGCAGGGCTGATGTGCTGAACAAAGATGATTTATTAAGTGGGTGGAATCTTTAGCTGATCCCTTCCTGTGATTGGCTGTTGTGGTGAATGTCAACAAAGAAAGTCTACCAATGACATGGATGCGCGGGAATTCTTACTTCAGCACAACAACCCGCTTTATCTGGGGACTCCTGGTGCAACCTTGACGACGAGCGGACGTCTGGACACCTCCTCCGCTTGGGAGCCGCCGGATTGCGTCCTGTTTTCGCGTTTTGGCTTTGATACTGCTGTTTGGCATCCCTATTCAAGGGTCCGGTTGTACGACGCCTGGCGCACATATAGCCTTGGGTCGCGGAATTGTTGATAGTTTTTTTTTTACGTGTTCAATGTTTTTTTACGTTACGCCGGGCGGGGCGACGGTGTTCGGGGGCCGAGAGGTGCCGGGAGTTGGTGGGCTCCTGGTGTGCCCTCAGCCGTGGTGGGCGGCTGGTTTCTGCTCTGCTGGGGGTTCTGGATGACGTTTGCGCTTTGCTGGGGGCCACATTTTTGGTTTTGTTACCTAGTGTTCTGTGTGTGGGTCAGGGCCGGTGCTTGTCACTGAGGGAGTCTTTGGGGCTCCCCAATCATCTGCCTGTCTTAAGTTTCTTTGCCGCGATATTAGTTTCCAGTGATTGGCATCACTCGTTTCGCGATTAGGCTTGGCGTTTCACCATTTCTGGGCTTCGCGATTAACCCTACGCAGGTAAGCCGGAGCACATCCGATCACACGATCGCCGTCGCCCCTAAATCAACAACAACATTATCTGTATTTTAAAAGGTGGCTGTTAAAACATAAGAAAATAAAAACATAATATATGGTATATGTAATATAAATGAAGGTAACTACAGAAGGCCTACTGACACATACGAGGCAACTCCTATCCACCCAATCTCATTGTACACAACATCGCAAACCTTACCTGGGTAAATCCTAATTCGGTAACAGGATTGTTGATTTGTGGAACCAGTTACCAGGTACGTGAAATTTCTTGGAAACATATATTGATGTAATTAGTGAATGTGGGATTATTGGGAACCTTTGTTTGCAATTGAATTTCTTTATAGTCTGTTTAATTTGTAGTTGATTAATATTCATTTACAGCTGGAAAATATCGCAAAGTAAATGGGAGAACCTTCGACAAGCCGCCGACTTCCTGTCCTCGTCGAGGCCACTAGTGTTAGTGGCTCTTGGGTAAATTTACTACAGTTTAACCAAACCACGCACTAGAAATTGAAGAGGCGACGATGTTCCGGTCCGTCCTGGATCATTATCAAGTCGATTGTAATAATGGATATCAATCGACAATAGACTTGATAATGGACGGACCGAAACGTCGTCGTCTCTTCAATTTCTAGTTTCCTTTGGTCAACATTTTTCAGCCATGTTATTGCGACTCTTGATCTGCTTACTACAGTTTACCTGATTTACCTGACTAGGTAAATCTTATGTTTATTATTGTTTATTTCCTCTCTTATTTAGTTTAAGGTAAGATATAAGGAGAAAGCGCTAAGCTATTACGATTATGTAGTACTTGGAAGGGATATGATGATTCCCCCAATGGTGGATATTCCAATTGTGAACAAGAGCCGAGACATACTCTCCAACACTATATCTGTGACTGCCCTGTTATAAGTGACTTCAGACCAAATGGTATGAGGTACTTTGAGCTCTGTAATTACATCATACTCTCAGGAATATTGGAAGATATTTTTATGCTGTACCCAGATTTTGCTAGTGGAGTCTAATAGATCAGCCTTACATCTCATGTTCTTGCCTGATTTTGTCACAGTTGATTTGTTTTTGTATTGAGGATGGTATTTTTTCCCCTGATTCAATGTACAGTGACTAACCATCCTGTGAGATGGAATATTGGATGAAATTATAGCTAGGTTTTGATCTACACTAATCTTTCATATAGAATAGGGTAGCAGCACATGCTGTGTATACCTAAACTTGTTAATAAAAAAGGAAGGGATATATGGATTTAGGATATGATGGAGGAAAGGAATTGGTATACAATATAATTATTACTTTAGTGAGTTTAAACCATTTTCTCCATTCTGTGTTTCGCTCGACCTCGGAAATATATAATACATATACGGAGGGGGTACCACCTCTGGTGCAATATACTGTACATATATATATATAATATATATAATATAATATATATAATATAAATATTATATATATATAAGGTTAATTGCAAGGGCCCGCCTCCCAACTCATCAGACATTATCCAGACTTTTGTTTACATCCAAACCATAGAAAATGAGAACCGTCGTCTATTTCTCTCCTACCGTTTAGATCTTATAAAACGTTTTCATTCACATTTTAATTCTCCTTATGCGTAAATAAAGATAATATTTTGAGTCTTATTTTGTGACTAAATATTTTAATTGTGGTTTTATATTTAAATTATTTATACTTTGCTTTTCAGGTGAATATATCGGTTAATAAAATGGGAACATCCTGACGAAAATGGCCGCTCTCTGTCCAAGTGTTTACATCGAAGACTTGACAATTCTGCTGGAAATTGTCTAAGTGTTCATTTATGATAATATCTTATGCCATTTAGATAGTGAATATCCCAGCAATTAAGTAAGATGACTCGCAAGCCAGCGTGTCGCCGCTGAAAGGAGCACCGAGCGACAACACCAGCCTGTGATTTATTTGAATTTTATCCTTAATTCCTCTGTATGAGGCACAGTGGTGACCTTAGGGGAGGATATCTCGCTGCGGCTGCGGCCAGGCTTCGGGTGAGTGCAAGCCACGGTTGTTCTTGAGTCGTGAAGTGAGAGATGACGGGAGGGAGGGCGGTGCCACGGTCATTCACACTCCCAGGATCGCGCCGCTCCCAATTGTTCTGCTTTGGGCTTTTGATGACTGAGCGCCCAGCCCGTGTGTGTTGTATGAGCCCAGCCCGTGTGTGTTGTGAGTATGAGCCCAGCCCGTGTGTGTTGTATGAGCCCAGCCCGTGTGTGTTGTGAGTATGAGCCCAGCCCGTGTGTGTTGTGAGTATGAGCCCAGCCCGTGTGTGTTGTGAGTATGAGCCCAGCCCGTGTGTGTTGTGAGTATGAGCCCAGCCCGTGTGTGTTGTGAGTATGATCCCAGCCCGTGTGTGTTGTGAGTATGAGCCCAGCCCGTGTGTGTTGTGAGTATGAGCCCAGCCCGTGTGTGTTGTGAGTATGAGCTCAGCCCGTGTTTGTTGTGAGTATGAGCCCAGCCCGTGTGTGTGTGTTGTGAGTATGAGCCCAGCCCGTGTGTGTTGTGAGCCTAGCCCATTCCATCTGAGTGAGAGCTCGGTCTGTTTGAGATGAGTGAGAGCCCAACCTATTTGAGCTGAGTGAGCCTAATCCATTTGAACTGAGAGCATCCCGTTGAGTTGCAATTGAGTAAATGTATG